TCCTGGCCTCTTCTTCAGCCTTTTTCCTGGCCTCTTCTTCAGCCTTTTTCATGGCCTCTTCTTCAGCCTTTTTCCTGGATTCCTCTTCAGCCCTTCTCCTGGCCTCTTCTTCAGCCTTTTTCATGGCCTCTTCTTCAGCCCTTCTCCTGGCCTCTTCTTCCACTCGTTTCCTGGCCTCCTCTTCCTCAACGTCCCTACCAGTGTTACTGTCGTCAGGTAGAGGAGGCGGAGGAGGTGGAATGTCTTCCTCTTCAATTTCCTTGCTTGTTTGTTTTAGTTCTGACACCAGTGGAAGCTCTTCACCATTTGCATTCTTTGGTGTGGCGTCGATTGGGGCAACATAAATATATGAGAAGGGCGACATGCCCTGGTCTTCCAAGGGGGTGTCCATGTCCAGTCGGGCAACCGGTCTCCTGTTTTCGTCGCAAGAAAATGCTACATAGTTCTTCATTGAAGGAATCCCCAATTTTCTTGAGAGAAATGGGAGGACGGAGCGCATTGCTTTACCATCGTCCACTTTTTGAACGATGTGCTCCGAAGGTTTTAATTTTCTTGCAATGATATTGTAAAGTGGCATCAGAGAGTGATGTAGTAAAAGTCAAGATAGTTCCTTACTATATGTCACTTTTGTTTTTATTTGACTTGTCTTTTTTTCTCTCTTGCTAACGCTGCAGCCGTAAACCAGAAAACGAAAAAAAAAAACCAGAAAGTCTGTTTAACATTAAGTTTTACAAATAATGCATCTTCTTAGTCTCCTCCAACTCCACTTTCCCGATGACCCCTCGAAATAGTGAGTTGTATCCGAACAAAAACAAGAGGACTACATGAAAAAAAAAAAAAAAAGAATTCCCTTTGTACTTGAAAATAAAGAAATAAAAGGCATTAACTTCACAAGGCCTGGGACTTCTCCCCAAGTACCTGGCGTCCTGCTGTAGTGTAAAAACTTAAATCTACCAAAAGCCGTTGTGCCAGTGTAATATCCACATTACTTGTAGGTTCTGCAACAGCCTCCTCACAATCAGATGGTACTGAAAACACGGATGGATCCGGCACAATAGGGACAAAATTATAAAAATCAACAGTAACTGTTGTATCCCCCATCAGTCTTTCTAGCTCATTTGTGAATGGTTCATCAGGCATAACTACTTCGTCAAAGAAAGGGCCTCCAAAGTAACGCCAATTTGGCACTGTAACAGGACTATCTGTTAACTCTTTAAGAGCCTGTTGCTGTCGGCGCGTCTGTATTCGCCAGGGAATTGTAAAGACAACATCTTCTGTTGTACCCTTTACACGTCCTGGTAAGCGGAAAGTGACATTACGGACATAGTACTCTACCTGTTGCATCGGCCCTGAACTATCGCGGTCATACCCTGTATATCCCACAACCTCAACACCCCGTACAAGGTTCTTCTCTGCATGCTTTACAAAGCCTTCTGGTACCCCAAACGTAGAAACATCACCAGCCATTTCAAAAGTACGGCAGAAACTACGTTTTCCTTCATTCTGCTCACCAAAACTTCCAGGGGCGTGGGTCTCTAATATATAACCGCGCCGTCGAATACCATCTGCAATAAATGAATATTGGCTTCCAAGAAAGAAATTATCAATGCGTAATTGTCTTGTCTGATTAGAAAGATAAATAGCACCGCTTTGTGCTACAGGTGTAGATAAGGGAAATGGAATTGTCGTGCCAATAGTGACATAAAAGTTAGGAGGAAACGGCACGAGCACAGCATCCGCCACGAATGTGTACGTGAGAGAAAGAAGGAGTAAAACAAAAAAGAAACACTTTGGCCACATTGGAAATAAAATTCTTTCCAGAAAGGCAATTTCTCTTCTCCACGTTCGTTTCTTTTTTCCTTTTTTTTGATCCTCTTTCTTTACTGATTTGAAAAGTACTATTTGTTTTTGTTTTTTGTTTTTTTTTTTTTTTTGTATAACAATGTTATTGAGATTCTGTAATGAAAAAAACTACAGCCTGTAAAAGTAGAAGAAAACAGAAAAAAAGAGGAACGCCTTTATTTTTTTTTATTAACCAATCCGGAAAGAGTACGTTATCTCTATTATTTCTCCATGTTTCTGCACAGTCAAAACCGAACATATTTCAAGAGCAAAAAAGTAAGGAAAAGCAAAGAAAAGAGATGAGGTTAGAAAAAAAAAAAAAAAAAAAAAACAAAAAGGAATAAGGATATAGAGAGTGTTCTCACAGAAAAAAAGGGACCTTAGCTCCCCATCCAGGTTTCTTGTTTTTTTTTGTTTTCTTTCTTTTCCTTCTTGTGTTCACATCTCCCTCCAGACCCCACACTCTTTTCTCCTCTTTTCATATACTTTTTCACACATACGTTTTAGTCCATATTATTATTCTTTTTTTTTTTTTTTCACATTACCCACCTTTTCATCTTCATCTTAAGAATTTATTTTTCCCAAAGAGGTTCCCCCGAACTGACGGCCCTATCCCTGGTTTACTTACTTGGGCGTATGTGTTCGTGCATGTACTTAATTTTTTTCTTCTTTCATTTCTCGGTCCCGTGATTCTTTTCTTACGCAGTATTTATCATCATTACCAGAATCTTCTTTCCCTGATTTTGAAAGTGTCTTCTCTCTCCATTTGTGCTGTTTTAATTTTGTTTACTTTTTTTTTCTTTTTAACCCTTTTTCCCCCTTTATTGTTCGTTTTTTTTTCTTTTCCCCATGCCTTCCTTTTCTTCTTTTTCTGAAATCTTTCAGATCCCTCCAACAACACATCCACAAATAGTTCCCGTAACAGGAGAATGGCACGAGAGAGTGCCATTTCTAATGCTTACATTACAGAGATCCATATATATATATATATATATATATGAGAACCAAATTTACAGCACCCTCCCCCACTCCGCTAACATCGTTGTTGCACTGAAATACAGTTGTTGCAAAACAAAAAAAAAGCAAATGAGCATTGGAAAGAAGGGGGGGAAAGAAACAAAAAGAGATCGATTGGCACCCATTGTAATACACAAAATGAATGGGACCACAAAGGAAAAAAAAAAACAAAATAATTTTTTAAAAAAAAAGAGCATAAGTATGAATAAATTGAGTGAAAACGCAAATCAGAGAAAAGAGGGAGGGAGTGGGGAAAATTCTGGGAAAATAAAAATGCATACTCGTATCATCATCATCATCATCTTTATTATTTGTCACCCCCTCCCACAATACCTCCTTTTCACTCCTAGCACTTCAGATGTGGTATATAGATTCAAGTCTACCTCTCCTGCCAAACCACATAAATAAAAATAAATTAAAAAAAAAAACGGTTTTGTGTGTACTTGCTCTTTTCTCTCTCATTTCTCACCCTCTCCTTATTATATACGCACACAGCAAACCCAAACAGAAGCATAAAAAAAAAGAAAAAAAAAAACAGAGTAAAACAGAGAAAATAGTCAGGTCTTGTGGAGAGACCTGACCGTAAGGCAATAAAAATGAAACGCACACGCACGACTCAAATAGGTGAAATTTACACGGAAGAGCAGTCTAATTTTATTTTATTTTTCCCCCCTTACTTCAAGCCAAAACCGGAAAAATGAGCAAAAAGTAAAAAAAAAAAAGGAAACGGCATAACACAAGAGAGCCCCCCATCCAAAAAAAAAAAAAGAACGTCTTCGTGCTTTTCGACTGATTCTGTACAACAACACCCGGGAAAAAAAAGAGGAGGTGGGGGGCTCAGTTTGCTATTGTTCATATTTCCGTGTTGCACCAAATGCCATCATCAGTTTTTTTTTTTTTTTTTTTTTTTTTTTTGAGGGGAAGGGGGGAATTTAGAAAAAGAAAAAAAAAGATGACGAAAAAAAGGTCCAGAGGAAAGGGGATATGAATGCATTGCGTTTCTACCACTATACGGAGGTAAAAATAATAATAATAATAATAATAATAATAATAATAATAATAATAATAATAATAATAATAATAATAATAATAATAATAATAAATCTACTATCGTCTGTTTTTCCGTCTATTCGGCTCACCACTAGCGCTTGCCTCGGATATGTTCGTTCCGCCCAGCAGAGAGGCCTGAAGATTACGAAGAAGGGCACCACCATCGCGAGTGTCTCCCGTAAATCGCCTGGCCGTTGATCCTGACACAGAAGAAGAAGTTGTTGTTGTTGTTGTTGTTGCGGGGGTGTCATGCAATAACCCACGGTCAATACCCAACGATTGGACTCCTCCTTTTATCTCACGATCGGTACCTTTTCCAAGAGAAAGATTTTTTCCTTCCCACTGGTGGCCACTATCTCTTACATCTTTTTGCCGTCTATCCTGTTTATATTTTTCTTTATGTTTTTCTTGTTTTGGATTCTGTTTCGGATCCTGGTGTTGCCGTGTAATTTTAGGTTCCTCCTGCTTTAACACATTGATTCCAGCAAGATTATCTTGAAATTGACGATTTTGGTGCTGTTTCTGTTGATCAGGGTTTGTGGAAAAAAACGAGACTATGTTTGATACGTCGAACGTAACTGGGTTACTGGGTCCCTTCGGATATTCTTGCGTGGTTGTTTCTACAGCTGTCACTTCATGCTCTGATTTATCCGTCCACCGCTGTGCGTGACCACGACGACAGAAATTCTTTTTTGAACAAGGGCGTTTCCCATCGTCTGGATCATGACTGAAACGACAATGTTCACGCGTACATCTACCACAAAGATTATCACAGCATAAGCGCTGCTTCCCCACAAATGTATCAGACGTTCCTTCCTGTTTCATCGTATTCCCGTATATTGAAAAATCTTTCATATTTATTGACAACCCAATAGCGTTGTTATTATTATTATTATTATTGTTGTTACTGACAAGGTATTCTTCTTGCAGCTGTTCTTCTTCCCTTTCTTTTCGTTCTTGTTCTTCCTTTGCGGCAAGCGCTGCCAGCCGCTCCTCACTTGCTCGAATCAGCGGTGCATGTGACTCAACACGCAGCACCTCTTTTAATACCTCCATCGCCATTGCGAGACCATTGTCGTCGACCTGTTTCTTTGGGTCATTAAATGGCACAGGACAAAGGGCAATATCTGGGTGAGAGCACTTGTCTGGTGAGTCATCAACAATGATAGTGTTCACAGCATGAAAACTCTTTGGATAGGCATCGAAAATACGCTGCAAATTCTTTATAGTACGGTAGGAATTCTCTGGAGTTGGTCGCTCTGTACACTCGCTGCGGTAAAACTTGAAGAGAAGTCTATCTTGATAGTTATCAAAGATTTTTTCAATGATTGGGATGGAGGTGCGCTCTAATCCACTTGTCCACACCGCCACAACAAAGTTGTTCATCACAAATCGCACAAACTCATCCACTCCGGGGCGATCCACAAAAGTTCCCCGCCCACGTGCAACGAGAACGCCATTAAGGTCTAGAACCAACAGGAATGCCCGCCGCACGCTGCTTAGATTAACGGTGATTTCGTACCCGTTGCGTGTTGCGATCACTGCCCGCTCGTTGGGTTCGTCGAGGGCAACAACAACGCCGATCTCCGCCCGTCCGCCCGAGAGCTCCACCCGCACGTATTGATCCACTTCGAACCGCTCCGTGCGGATCGATGGGTGTGCGGCAGCCATCACTCACGCCGTCAGTCACTGAGAGAAGATTGAAGAGATCGAACAGAGGACCCGTGGGGAGTTGGCGGGGAGTAGAAGGGGAAGGGAAGGGGGAGGCGGTTAATGGGGTGGAAGGTGGGGGTGGGGGAAGTTGAAATTCGCGCCTGGAGGAGGTCGTACCCTTTCTTCCTTTTAAAAAGAGGAGGGAGTGGGGGAAACAGAAAAGAAAATAAATATAAAGAAAGAAAGAAAGAAAGAAAGAAATAATTGTTTCTTGGTAAATGATACCTTATACAACTATTCACTCATCGTATCATTTAAACTCCAGAGGATTAATGAAGGAAGTAATACATCAATTGTTTGGTGACAACCTGGTCTGATAAGAAATCATGAGACGATCGTTTCTTTTTTTTTTTTCCTCTTTACACCAGAGAGGTTCGGCGAATCACACAAAATCCTTAAAAAGAGAAAAGAAAAAAGAATTAGGGCAGATAGAATGGAAGAATTAAAAAACGTTACTCGCCACATTTTCTTTTTTTCTTTTCTTTCTGTCAAAAAACCAAGTCAATTTGCAATAAGGGAAATCAAGGTATACACACAAGTAAAACGGTTATTTTATTTTTCTTTTCTCTTTTTACTTGTTTATTTAGATTCACCTGCGCTGCCATTTCCTTCACAAAAATAGTAACAACTGTAGAGAAAACACCAGAAATGCATCGTCCAGCACACCTTTACACAACACCAACAACGGAAAAAAAGAAAAAAAAAAAAAAAATGACGCCCACTCACTCAATTTTTTTCTCTCTTTTACCTCAACAAATGGCATTAACACAAATACAGACCTTCTTGATTATCAGATAAAAAAAAAAAAAAAAACCAAACGTTTTTTTTTTTTTGAAAAAAATTACTTACTTGTGTGTTACTCTCTCTTCCTCATACCCTACCCAGCCTTCATACTCCGTTTGACCCTGTCTTCCTTCAGAATTCACGTTACCCGGTTTCCATATCATCAACACAAACCACAATACAGTAAGGAGAGCACACATGGCCTTAAACCATTGCGGTTCTGACATTGATGAGGACAAAGGAGCCATACTTTCCACCTTAGCAGAACTATTTCCCCACAGTTCCTTCAAATGAAAGGTTACGAGTCGGCGTAATTCACTCTCCAAAGTAACCACGTTTCTACGTCTCCGTGTTCGATTCATCATCTTTTGTTTAAGATCAGCAAGAGAATGATTTTCTCCTCCTTCTCCTTTTCCTACTCCTTCTGTTGCTGCTGTGGTACTATTTATATTGGTCATATTACTCGTGTTAGTAAATGATTGAGACATCTCTTGTGCTGCCATTTTCTCTTCTAATGCATATTGAGCTGCCTCTGCAGCTGAAAGGCGGCGTGGCTCCACCATGTCCCAATCTACCATCCGTAATAAAATTTTTACAAGGACTTCTACAACTTGTGGTTGATATCCAAGTGATGCTTCAACCCCGTCAAAGGAGTCATTTACTATTAATAACGCAAGGACATCCAAAATAACAGGAAAATATGCTGGAACCTGAACTGTTGATGGCAATTGTAAGCCATGCAGCATCAGTGTTGGGACCTTTCGTGGAACAGTACCCACACCTGATCGAATAAAGATAACTAGTGGACTACAACTAACAATAGAAACATGTCCATAACCGCATAATCTACGGTAGAGAAGTGGTAAAATATCAAAAGCCACTCCAAACACCTCACATACTGCACAATCTTCTTTGTAGTAATAAACTAATGCTGTGGGAAGAGGAATACGTGATGGAGTCAAAAGAAATTGTCGATGTTTAGGATATTTACGTCCCTTGATTGGAGTAGAAGTCCAATTACGTCTACTCAACCACTCTAAGGTTGCAGGATCTGTGGAAGAAAGAGCTGGACCGACCAATTGATCTAATGAAATCCGAGGAAGAAATGGAACAGTGGCACGTGGATCCTGTACCACTCTCCTTTCCGTTTCCGTCCACCAATCCGATACCCGTCGTAAGTAATTATAAATCATATCTGGTGTACCCGTATCCTTTGTGAGATGTAGGACTCTTACTATAGGCCGTTGCTGCACATATCGATGGTAGTAAAGATGTGCCTTTCTCAAGGTTTTATTGGATACGAGTAACCAAGGCATATCGGCAAGTGTGGCATTAGCCAAGGTAGCTCGTATATGTGTTACTCCTTGTGGGTTTTCTGTATCACCGTGAAGATTATTTGTGAGCCGCATAAGTTCATCCTTAACAAATTGATATGCTTCTGGGAACATTCCCACCGTACGATTGGCTCGTATCCATCTTTCCATTTCTAATCGAAGTGAAAGTTCATCATGCGGGTTCCATGGATCATGACAAGTAGCACTACAATGCCAAGTGTCCGCAATGGTATCATGTCCAAGAAGAGCGCTAATGTAATGTGATGGTGTGAAGGGCAAACACTTGTCAACTGTAAGAGACTCCTCCGTTGGGGTTACGCAGTAGGCAGCAAACACTGGACAAGTAACACTATATATTGTACATATAAAGAATATCAAACCTACAACTCCATTGATGCAGCTAGAACTCATTTTCTAACCGCATTCTTCAAGGTCAAAAAAAATGCATTAAGGGTACATATATGTATTTATATGTGTGTATATGAGAGGAAAATAAAACCACACATAGTAACAACAAAAAAGTCAAAAGAAAAAAAAGTAAATAATAATAATAATAATAATAATAATAATAATAATAATAATAATAATAATAATAATAATAATAACAACAATAGGGAAAGGGATAATTTAAGAAATAAGATTTTTCTACAGATATCATTATTATGTAATAAATTTTTACCACATTTCAGCTTTCTAAGAAGTGATTTCCAGTACGGCAATATATGAAAGTGAAGTTCTGTCGCACAGATCGCTTAACAGCAGCAGCAGCAGAAAAAAAAGGGAACGAAATGTAATTTTCTTCTTTTTTTTTTTTTTAAAAAAAAAACGTGAGAAAAAAAAAAAGAAAAGGGTACAAAGTAAGTGAAATAAAAGTCCGGCATCCGGACCTGTGAACAGAAACAACAAAAAAAAAAAACACCAACACCAACACCAACACCAACAACAATTATAATAATAACAGTAGATAGAAATACTTTTTTAAACAAAAAAAAAGTATTTTAACTCATCTTCCCTTTAAAACAGGAAAAACAGCGAGGGGGATTCGCTGACAAGACTCGGAAAACAACGCGGACAAAAGCATTTCCACACCCGCCTGCGACTGCACACTCTTACCATGATAAACGATACTCCACGCATCTCCCACGGGAAGTGCTGCCTCCACACTTACTTGTCTAAGCAGTTCACGGACAACCGTATTACAGTATTCGGTTGTGTTAACTTTATTCATCTCACCATTTGTATGAGCAGTAACCAAAGATAAACTCGGTGGTGACACTAAGAAGAAAAAACGATGATGTTTGCCTGTATCACCTCGAGAAACACTCACTTCCACCCGACGTTGTAATGGCGTTCGTTTATTTTCGTCACTGAAATACATATGAGTTACCTCAAGACGTTGTGGGTTGGTTTCTTTCTGTGTGTCTAGACATACATCTGATAACTCATACGCGGCGGCGTCTTTCCAACACCCCGACCAAATCATCGTATTCACATATGGAATTCGTCCTTCTTCTGTTCTGCAGGAAAGTGAACATCCAGCAGCAGCAGTATTAGTAGTAGTATTAGTAGTAGCGGTAAGGGATGTTTTTTCCTTTTCCACATTCTGTCTTTCTGTTGAGATGGATAATTTATGTCGTGCTGATCCTGCAGAGACGCGAAGAATAACGGCCCTTTCATAGAGACACGACTCCTCCCGAGATCGTTTGACGCCTGTCAGTGGAATACTCGCCATTATAAATGGATGAACAGCAGCAAGATAAATAACAACAAGAGATAAAGAAAAAAAAAAAAAAACACAATTCAGTAACGAGCCAAATGCATTACCTATAGCAAGAGAATAGATTTCTTTGTCGCTTCTATACCCTATTTAACGTAAAAAGAAAAAAGAAAAAAGGGGAGAAACAACGTATTTGTCTTCAAGAGATATAATTTATCAAAATAAAAACAAAATGGCAATAGAAACACAGATGTAAATGCGTTCCCACCTGCCCTCACACCACACCACAAAAAAAAAAAAAAAAAATCCTTCAAAAATTTACGCTTCTCTCTCGCGTCTCAGTGACTTGGTATGTTGCTAAATTGCTAAATTGGCAGCAAAGAGGAAAAGAGAGAGACGAGGAAGAAAAAAAGAAAAAAAAAAAAGACAAAACACTACATACGGCATATTACAACACCTTACGTGTGTGGAATAAATGTATACTTTATCCAGCCGTCCAACATCCTCCCTTTTCCTTTTTTCCTTTTTTTATTATTTATTTTTTCTGGCGTGTGCTTATGGGAGTGTTCTCTCTTTTTGTTGTTGTTGTTGTTGTTTTTTACTTTCTTTTCTTTTATTCTTCCTCTTTTATTTCATCTTTATTCCTTATTCTGTTGGTCATTGCTAGGACTATCCCTCTCATTTTCATCATACACTGCGCGCTGACTCATTGCTTTTCTCATTTTCCTTTATTCTGGAACTCTTTCTCTCTCTTTCACACACACACAAACTCTCTCCCTCTCTATTTACCTCTCTAAACCCCAACCACCCTAACCCTTTCTCCTCACTAACTAGGCCAACAATAAAAACCCCACACCTCACACACACAAACACACACTGCAAAAACATGCGCTTTCCATTGTCTCCTTATTTCAGCGTTCCCAATACAATGAAACAGTCTGAAGAAGACTCCTCTACTCGCATCAACCCTTTCCAATCCCATCCCCTAATATATCATTTTCATTTCAAGAGTATTACAACTTTCCTAGATAGATTACGTTCTCATCAATCCACTTGTATGGGGGCACCTCAAGATTGAGTGGTGCAGGTCCCTGACGAATACGACCAGAGGCGTCGTAGTGACTGCCGTGGCATGGACAGAAGAATCCACCAAAGAGACCCTCATTTGGAATAGGCACACATCCCAAATGTGTGCAAATGGCAATCACAACAGCCTTCTCACGTTGTTCAGGGAAGCGAACCTCATCTGTTTCCGGGTGCTTAAGTGCAGAGAGAGGGGTCTCTGCAATTTCCTTCATCTGGCGCTCACTGCGTCGGTACACAAATACGGGCTTTCCACGCCAGACGACTGTCTTGCACTCGCGCTCCTCTAGATGGCCCACCTCCGCCTCAACGTTCATTTGCCCAACCATTGACAGGGCCGGCTGTCCAACATACCACAGTGGCAGCACTGCATAGCGAGCCATAAGAATAACAAATCCCAAGAGAGCGGAGTTCAATGCGTAATCCGTCACACGAGCGCGATCTTCCAACTCATCCGGAAGCTTTGGCTTCAAGATGTGCTTGCGGAAGAAATCCTCATCCCACATAGAGGCATCGTAATCCTTCAGTGCCACACCAGCGGTGGCCTCAATGCGGCCTTGAGTGGCACCCTCAGGGTATGTATTCAGCACAACTTCCTCAGAGGTGTCCACTGTGCAGAGAGCGGGATCGGAGTACTTTGCATACTGTCCATACTTGGCTTCCATATCCTTTGAGACTGGGGGCTTCATAAACTCATCAGACCATGAGCTTACAGGCTTATCCTTCACAGTCAGTGGGTTAGATCCCTCCAGCTGCTTGAACACCAGAGAAACAAGGTTCACCCGTGTTCGCTGAACGGCAAAAACGCATGAACGACGGAGCATATCTTAATGTATAATTCTCTTAATATCTCTCTCTTTTTTCTTTCCTTTTCTTTACTTATATAGTTATCCTTGTATATATGTGTGTTCTAGAGAGAGCGTACAACTAACTAACTATCCAGAGGAGGGTGTCTCACGTGACGCCGAAATATACTTTTTTTTTTTTTTGTTGTTGTTGTTGTTGCAAAGAAGAAGAAAAAGAAAAGAGAGTGTGTGAAAAGGAAATAAAGGAAAATAAGAGGAAGGAAACTTGACATAATGTGATTGGTACAGTAAACACCAAAACAAAATCCACATATAACTGTGAACAATAATATATAAAATAAATAATATAGCAATAAGGGTACTAAAAGAGGAAAATAATGAAAAAAAAAAAATACAAAAAAAAAATAAATAAATAAACAAATAACTAAATAAATAAGCAACATTTATATATATCTGAACTAATTAAAAACAAAAAAATATTTTGATCTCTCACATTCTACTGCTTCAAAAATCATCTCTCAACTATCAAAAAAAAAAAAAAAAAAATCAAGAATAACATCAAGAACAAGAAGAATTGTACTCTCAAGATGTTGACTACGCAGCACTAACAGGTGGAAACATAGACAAACCAACCATAAAAGCTGCTCTTCGCGTCTCATCATTTGTCGTTGCCAACACAACAGGCATGCGAGCCCAAAAAGAACGTGAGCGTGATTTAAACAACGGTGCTGGTTTCCCAACAGTATATGCAGCAGCATCATAATTATCTCTCTTCTTATTATAATCCCTATTATAATGATCGTTGTTGTTCATAGATGCAATGAGTCCTGCGACAAGGTGATCTACTTCGCTCGCATGTACAACGGAAAGTTGTTGATGTTGTTGTTGTTGTTGTTGTTGTTGAGATGTGCGACTATTTTGTGGGACCACCAACTTTTCCAACTGTTTTGCCACCAATACAGTGGCGATACTTGTACTTCCAACAGAAACTGTATTTGGATCCTGCTGAGAAAATGTTTCGGCTAAAAAGAAACGTTCAGAACTTCCCTCAAGAAGAACCACTTCGTCCTGTAGTCCTAAAAGCGTAACTCCCCCTTGACCGCGTTTCATCGGAATGGAATAAGGATTTGTTGATGGACTCCACTCTCGTATTGTGTTTTTATTTGTTGTCGCGTACATTAGAGATTGTAATACGCGACGTGAATTAAAACGACGAGGTCCTTGATCGTCCAAGGCGGAATGCACAACATCTAATAAGACTGAATGTGGAATTACAATTTCTCGATGTTTTGCTAATTGAAGTAATTGATTAAAATTTTGTAGAAGAAAAGATGTATCTGGAACAACTATATTATAATGAATTCTTCGTCTAATCAGCATCTCTACACGCTCTGTTGGACTATGTACATCTGCAAATGAACCAAAGAGTTCACAGGATGTATCGGTCCATGTCGATAAATTAGAGTCATCTTCCATTAATCCTTCCCTTTTCTGGTTAGTACCAATACTACTACTAATACCACTACTACTACCACTATTTTTATTAATAATACTAATAATAGTATCACTTTTCTTACTATTACTTTTCATACGAGAAGTATTTTTTTCTACGACTAGGAGGAAGCACATCATGAGCTTCTTTCGGCAAGACTAATGTGAGAGCCACACGCCGTAGAAAGAGTTCATCCCATGAAACGGCCAATAAATGCATAAACTTCAACGGTTCTTTACACAGTGCTTTTACAGGGTCAACCAGACTCTCAAGTGCCATTAGTTTTGTTCGTTGAACTTCACTTAATGTTTTATTAAATGTAATGCTACCCCATTCTTCAAAAAGCAAACGTTTTCTAGCCTCCTCTGAAGATGGTGTTGAAAAAAGAAATGGATGATCCAACACTGCACGTCCAACACGAACGAGTGGACTAATTTCCACCTGAGCGGAAAGACTCTTGTTATCTACAATGTGGTACATCTGCGAAAGAAGATAATGTAGTCCCAGGCTTTGTTTTAATTGATGTGTTATTTGGAGAAGTTGCATATTCTGCTGAAGCATAATACGAAATTGTTCCACCTCCGTTATTTTTGTCAGCCCTGGAATGAGAACACAGAATGTCTCTGTGGAAGCTATATTAACAGGAGACTCACCTCGCATATTTCCCCTTCTTTTTTCTTCTTGTATTTGTATTTGTGTTGAGGGTGATTGTCTCTGCTTGTGGGATGGAGACGCTAATGATAAGGATGAAGAGATTACAGATGATGATGATGTTAATGATGTTGACGTGGTGTTTAGAAGACTTTCCCTCTCTAATGGTGTTTGCATATTCCAAATAAGACTGCAGTCATCTCCTTCATTGTTATTATCCTCCGCCGCTATCATTTGTGCCACCACCATACTTTGATGGGCACGATGAGGTTGTTGTTGCAATGCCACTAACGCCAGTTCATCTACAGAAAGAGATTGCAAGTGCTCCATTGTTAATATCTGAGGGCAACCCGATATTCGATGATATTGACTATATTGTTGTTGTGGTGGTGGTTGTGGCTGTTTCTGGTGTGGAGGAACGGTATGACCTGAGCGACTAAACAATTCATGCACACGCAGCGCATCTGCTGATCTGCGGTGTATTAAACAAATACACATACACTCCCGCACTGTGTGATGTATACGTGCAGCGTCCTGTTGGCGCGCCGTTGATGAGAGCAGCAGAAGAGCAGCGTGCACGGCAGACTCCCACGGTGCCCGCGCCAGGCCCTTCACACCGCCGTGCATGTACTACACCATATAAATATATAAATATAATGTTTATAGGAGGAGGGGTGAAAGAAGAAGAAGAAGAGAAAGAATGAAGAAAAAGGAAAAAGTAAAAGGGGAATATGTTAAGATGGTACACGGATCTGATGCCAAAAAAAAAAACAGGGTTATTCAACACACACATATATATATATATTATCAATAGATAGATAGATAAATAGATGTGTCAACCTATTGGAGAACCAGGGGGATATGGGAGAATAATGGTAGATTAACAGACAAAGTATATATCTATCCACCTATCTATCTTTTTCTCTCTCTCTCTCTCTCCCTGTATAACCAAACACAGAAACACACTCAATCAATCTCAATCTCAATCTCAATCTTCAATACACAACCACACCACACCACACCACTACGTCAATGTACTCCCTCTCTCTTTCTTTCCTTCTCAGCCAAAAGCCTCACATAAGGGTGAAACTACAAACAACTCCTCAGGTGATTTCACTGAAAAAGATTCCATAAATCGCGGCCGCCATCGCTTAAATGTCCACTTGTGTTTTGCTGCACGATTCGGACTTGGCGGTGCCTTTAACGTTCGATTCACCCGCAGCGTTGCGGTTGGTTCATACCGTTCACGTGATGCCCACGCGAGTTGCCGCTGCTGAGGACACATCTCACGTACCCAACGGCTACACAAATATTTCGCGTGCTCTTCACTTACATCACTGGGCCGCCAAACAAGAACACCTCTTCTTTTTTCTGTTGTTGTTGTTGTTGTTGTTGTGTTGGTGCCTACGCCTGTGAGATTGTCCTCTGTTGGATTACAGAGAAATGTGGCTCCTACATCGTCTGTCCTTCTACGGCTTAAATGTTGATAGGAATTCATCGGTAGGTCTTCCCCCGTGTCTTTACGAAACCACTGCAACACACTGTGGCCCAAAATAATAGAAATGAGTAGAAACAAAAAAAGTGCAAAACGTCTTCGTACAACTCGTCTCAACATTGCCCGCTCGGATCGTCGGTGGATGGCGAATTCATCTTCTTCGGTTTTCTGAATAAATCCTTCCATCCACGGATATCGTTCCAACACTAACTCTATCGCGTGTGTCTGCCGTGCCACAGCGCACAATACCACAGAGACGGAAAGCTTCACGATCACATCAGCGACTTCTGAGAAGGAGAGGGATTGCAGAGTTTCGAATTTAGAGACTCCATCCACACCGCCGTGATCGTAGGCTTTACGTCTCTGTGGATCCATTAAAACATTATATGCATTCGCAACCACACGAAATGCATCCGCTGCTTTTTCATTATCTGAATTTTTATCCGGGTGAAGTTGAACAGCTAGTTTATAGTAGCTTTGGCGGATCTGCTTTTCACTTGCAGTCTTCGTTAAGCCAAGGACTTCATAATAACTGTCGCTGTTATCAATAATCCATTCAATTCGTGAAGTATCCCCCATCACGACTACTACTACGTATATACGTATGTGTATTCCTCTTTTTTTTTATTTATTTCTTTCTTCTTTTTTTTTCTTTTGGCAACTGTTATTATTTTCTGTCTACTACTTTAACTCGATGTTTTGTTTTTTTTTTTTTCCCCTTTCTGGAAGGATAGGGAACTGCTCAGTTCCGTCAGTCCACCTGATAATAAGAAAACCAAAAAGAACAGAAACAAATCAATTAATTAATTAATTAACTCATTCATTCATTAATAATAATAATAATAATAATAATAACAGTAATAATAATAATAACAGTAATAGTAATATTATTGCAATCACCACCCCCTTCTCCCTTTATATCTGTGCATGTGATTCCCTTTCTGTAGCTGTGATTGTCCCACACAGAAGAAAAACACGAAAAATAAAAAAATAAAATTAAAAAAGCAATAACAGACTATAAACAGAAACCAGCCTATAAAATAAAATAAAAAGGAATATAATCATATCCTCTTTATATAAACCAAAAAGAATTAAAAAAAAAAAAAATAAAAATAAAAATAATAAGAGAACATCTGATGACAGTACTATTTAGCATGGAAGAAAGAACTCACATCCATCGTGAATCACCCCAAATACAACTGGATATGTCCTCTCCGTATCATTATTGTCAATTTCTTTGTTTTCACTATTGAGAAAAAAGTCCCTCGCACGACTCATGGGAAATTCACCATGTTTTTCAGATTGATCTTCACATGCCTCCACAAGTGCCTGGACCGCACGTCGCACATTTCTCTCCTGCAGGAAAACAGTGGTGTCTGCTGTGTAATTCTCACGTGTCCGCTTCACTCCACGATTCTCCCGCCGTGGGGGTTCAATTGTTGAGAGAAACGCCTCCACGGCCGCTTTGAGACCAGCGGCATGGGCCCACGGCGGCCATGTTGAGATGAGGGCCGCAAACACCCACGCCCGCTCTTCCACCGTGTTGAGAGAATATTTATTGGGGGTTGTCTGTGTTTTGTGCGAGGCCGTTGTGAGCTGCAGAAATAATCCCAATGCCTCTAGAGAGGCGGCGAGTTGGGGCACGTGTTGTATCAATGTATACGCTAATCGTGCGGCGGCCACTGTGGTGTGTTGTTGGGCAAACAGTTCATTCACCCACGCCAAGAGCATTGGCGCCGCTTCCACAAGAGAAGCGTCGGGTATGATCTCTCGAGTGTGATGCTCCACGGCGGCGACGATGCATGCACGCAGTGTAGATGACTGCCGTGTGCACAGAGCCCACTCCCGCACGGGTGCTGTGAGAAGAGGAACGGCCCGGCGTACACCTCGTCGCCGCATAGCCCCTTCCACCATCCAGCGAACAGTTGCCAATGCAGCCACCATAGAAGAAGAAGATGATGATGATAATGATGATAATGGAATGGAATGAAGAGATTCCCCACTTTTTAATTTTGCCTCCAGTTCAGATTCGTGTCGGAGGGCAAACTCACTTCCGTGTGTGCGTTCCAGCAGTAAAAATATAACTTGCCATGCATACACTTGTGTATCTTGCTGATGAACGTACTGCAGAGCCCATTTAAACAGTGTGTGATCACAACAACTCGCCATGTGGATTGGCAATCGCCCAAGCGCTAATACTACCAGACGAGCCACATAGGCTGCGAGAGCGGGAGTCTCTCTATATAGTAAGAAAGGCGTTATGTGTTGTTCAAGCAGTGGACGAATAAATATCTCCGCCGCGATGGATCCCTCACACACAGCCAGAGAAACACAATAACACAAGAAGGAAAGGATACGACAGCTAAATGGGTAATTTAAAGAAACCATCTTTCGTGTAGCCACGAAAAGGTGAAGAAGAAATAAACCACACTTGGGGGTATGAATTATCACAAGACGTGAGAGAGTGATTAGTTGATTGTTATGCTGTTGGTAGTAATCATTTGAAAAAAGATATTCTTGCGCTTCTTTCACGTGATTGTTATCTTCACTGCTTTCCATATGCATAATAGAAGATGAAACCAAAATGGATAGCAGTACTATTCCCCACCCACACAATCCCAATGCATCTATCCAAGAAGATTGGGCTGAACTAAAAAGTTTAAAAAAGACAGAATAATACTCTTGTGGGACATTACATACTCTATTTGTGGTAAAGCAGGCATCCAATTGCATAATATTTCCTTGAGGTAATTCACCTCTCCATTTAAAATAAGCAGCACATGTTTTTAATGCAGTAAGAACAGCCATAGCAGAATCCTTATCACCTATTTTAATTTCACTGTTATTGTTATTATTATTGTGATTACTATTGATATTATCGTAGTTACCACCATCTCTCTTATCTGTATTATGTTGTTGTGCCCATGGATGTGTGGTCGCATCTGAGAACCATGGAAGTAGCGTCATTTGTCTAAGAAAAAAGTCATCTAACATCTCCACAGATACTGGTTGTGGACAATCAGTCATTGCAAGTGCAAGCAATAAAGAAGCGGCCCAATGAGGATAACGACAGAATGACTTTTCTAGTAATAACTGTGATGATGTGGAATCATCCAAAACAAATGAATCTGGTAAAACCAAATCAATACTCGCACGATTCGCTTCCGCTATTCGCATAAAATTATACACCATCTGTGATCGTAGTGTAATCGAATCACTTGGAACGCGAAGTAAGAGAGTGAGAAGATCATGATGAAGCAAAACGGTTACTTGTCGTTTTAGTAATCCATCGATCATGTTCTTTCCACTTGCATCACCAACAACATGATCAAACACAGTGGCCGCAAGCACAAGTAACGCATCTGCGGCATTTCTGTCTGTTCCAATACAATTATCCACTTGCATTGAAGTCCAATTTAAAAACTGCCGCAAAACTTCTGCGAGGATTTCAACCGCGAGATGCATGAGAGCCGTCTGAGAATAGGGAAGAAGAAATGCCACTGCACAACAGAGGCTACTGAGTGTTTCCGGACGAAGTGACATGAGACGATTCCCAAAAGGCCAATCTCCCACTTTCCCTTCTTCTTCTTCTTCTTCTTCCTCTTCTTCCCCATTATTATTATTATTATTATTATTATTATTATTATTATTATTATTATTATTATTATTATTATTATTATTCTCTGTGCAATTACCCCCGCAGGAGTCTGCCAATAGACGCAGGAGTGTATTTGCCATGAGGGCGATGGTCTCTGGGAGAATAGACCGCCCTTCGCCCCCGCAGGCCGACTGCAGACTGCGGAGCTGCAGGAGAAAACAACGCAGTGAGATGATATTTCCCGTCTGCGCGGTGCCGACCATCTGCTGGGCGGCCTCGTTGAGGTTTGTGAGGCGATCGCTGAGGACGGCCACGAAGTGTGGACCCACCACCGCATCCTCAAAGGCTTTGCCGCTCACAGCGACAAGCTCAAAGAAAACCCGAAGTGTTGGGCCGCTGGGAATCATCTCCGTTGGGAGTTGGTTGAGTAACTGCACTAATGCCACGGCCGAATCCACTGTGGCTGTTCGAAGTGATTCAATGATGTAGTCTGGAATATCAACGCAATCCTTAAAGGACTGTGTAGTCATGATAACTCCTTGCAGGGTTTCAGCTGCGGCAATAACCACATCTGGGTTGAGATGTAAAAGGAGAAATGTTAAATTACGTACAAGTTCTAACGGCATACATGGAAATAAATTCTCATTCTCATCCCTTTCTTTTACTAGTGGTAGTAATATCCCTCTTTTCGTCGTTTCATACTTTGTAATAAATCTTGCGAGACAAAGTGCATTCACCACAACAGGTTCATCATCTCGAAATGTCTTTAGTGCCCAAGCCAAATAATCCAGAAAAGAAAACCCTTGTGTGGCCCAGTCTCTGATAGACACTACCACACATGTGAGATTCTCTAACCATGCTGGACGTCCAGTAGAGAATTCAAACACTTGATGGAGTAAATACAATGCCAACTCTACTCTATATGCATCTCTTAACGGCATGACCAACGCACACACGTGGGAGAGGCAATGTTCTGAAAGCATCTGTAGAAACACAGGATTTGAATCGGATAAGTCTGTAAGAAAAAGAAGACCGGTAGGGGAATTCCCATCCTGCGGGAGTCCTTCCAACACTCCATCACAGATACAACGTGTTAATTCAATCAATAGAATACGCCAAGATCCTACAATATCTTTAACATCGTTATCATTATCATTGTTAAGACCACCACAAGTATTATCATCAACAATATTATTATTATTATTATTATTATTATTATTATTATTATTATTATTATTATTATTATTATTGCAGTCCTTCATATCCAGGTGATTTCTCTCTACGGGGAGTGCCAGAACATTGGCTCTGTACACATACACCGGGTTCACATCCAGTAAATTGAAGAGAAAACTAAAAAATGAGAGAGCCGCCCTACACAGTGAAACATGACGGTGTAAAGAGGTAGATGTACATAACTTTCTCGTCAGTTGCAGTAAAACATCATGAAACGATAAGAATGAACGCCAGAGTGAAAGAAATGATTCTTCTGCTTCTCGGCTATCATAATCCCACTCGGTATCCTCACTGGCCAATTGCATCATTGCTCTTGTTGCTTTATCCGAAGAAGGTAAAAAACAGTCCTGCAAGAGAACCACCATGTCCTGCAGGGCCCGAACAGCAATATTGGTGGTCATCTGTTCAAATTGATTGACAAAACAAGTCACACATAATCTCTGGCAAGAAGTAAAATAACGTTTTGGTTTTCCACAGCGGAGTGGTAGAATGAAGTGACGATGCTTGTGGCATTCATACATGGGAATCCTTTCCGTCATGGTTCTTTTCCTTATAAAGTATAAAAAAGGAAAAACAAAAGTGAAAGAAAAAGATATGAATACATCAATAAATTATTATTAGAAAAAAAAAAGAAAGAAGGAAAAGTAGAATCATTATAGACAGAAGAGAAACCTTATGCAATTTTTATTTATTTGTATACTTTTATTTGTTTTTTGTTTTGTTTTTCTAATTCCTTCTGACGGTTTCCCCACTTGTTTGCCGCCATAAAGTACCGGTGCAGAGTCAAACACAAGAAGTAACGTACACCCACACGCACACAAACACACACAGAGAGAGAGAAAAAAAAAGCGTTAATAATAATGTGGTGCAATGAGACTTTAAATCATGTTTTTTTTTTGTTTTTTTTTTTTTTCTTTGTTGCGTTCTTTGCGTTATTTTTCTTTCTGCTGTTATTGTTGTCGTTGTTGGTCTTCTTCTTGTTTGTTTCTTTGTTTGCTTGTTTGCTTTTTGTTGTTGTTTGTTTGTTTGTTCTTCGTTCTTTTTCTTCACTTTCTTACGAAAAGAAAACTGTGAAAAGCCGCACTGATGACTTCATCAAGTCTCAACAGCGTCCTCTCCACGTCGATACACAGTCCAGACACGCCTACTCTTCTCAGTAGGGAGAAAATAACACACGATAACAATCATGGAAGAGAACAGAAGGAAATAAATAATAATCATCACCACCACCATCACCTACAATATGTACCATTCATCAATAGAAAGTTTAAAAAAAAAAAGAAACAAAAGAAAGGCGAAAGAAACATATATATATATATATATATATATATATATATATATATATATACTCAGAGTTATGCTGCTTGAGTGGCGGCGTGTGCTGAAGCCGCTGCTGCTGCTGCCGCCTGTGTGCCATCGCGGTTCGCAAATGCCTCTAACACTTCTGGATAGGCGACCACATAATAAGTAGTGCCGTAGTGCATATTGCGAAGTTCTTTAATCTCCAGCCGTGACTCCTTCAAGTAGTCGCGAATGGGTGAGTTCCACTTACACCCATGCGTGTTTACATTATGCCGCTGTTCAAAGTAGTCGAGGAACCAATTCACCGGCGGGTATGGACTGCTGCCGTGCTCCAGTAGGAGAATGAGACCACTCGGTTTCACCACCCGCTGCATCTGCCGAAGGGCCATCACGGGATCATGCAAGTGGCACAATCCAAACATATCCACCACGCAGTCAAACTCCGCATCGCCAAATACTTCTAAATTCTCTGAACGCACACGTCGGACATCGTACTTTGGATACGCCGTGCGGGGGAGACGATAACGTAATGCCTGCAGTTGTTGGGCGTTGGAGTCGCACATGACGATCTCATGCACGGCGTACGGGTAGGCGCCGATGTTTTGTCCATGGCCCGCCGCCAGCTCCAACACTCTACCGTATGTTTGCTGCAGTAACTCCTCACGCAAATCACGAATCTCCTTTGGTTGTCCAACCCAGACACGGAAGAATGTAAGAAAGGCTCCAGCTGCTGTGATACATAGGAATACCGTTCCCCATATTCTTAAACGCTCCTTTAATGGACGTTTCTCACGTTGTAATCGAAAGTATTCCCGTTGTTGATAATACTCATGATGCCAGAAGGGTTTCACATGGGCTGGAATATCATCTGTGTAATCATAAAAGTTCTGTTTACCTTTCGCTAAGATGGGTGGGTGTGTTGTTTCCCACTGCCATACAATGGCCTCGGGTTGTTGATCACGTCCCTCACGCTTAAGTGCATGCCGTGCGTACTCCAATACCACATCATCCGATGGCTGAAGAAACCCTTCCTTCTTCTCTATTCCTGTTTCTTCTACGTGTGCGAGGGCGGAGTCCCCAGTTTTGGGATCTGTAGTCTTTTCACTGTGAATGGCATCCTCCTTCTTGCCTGGTGTATTTCCCGTATGTGTGCTGCAGCAACGGGTGAGAAGTGTGAGTGGCAGCACTACAGATGATGAGGATGGGCGAGTAGATGAAAGACGGCGCAGTAACATGAAATGAATTTATTTATATGTATATATATATATATATATATATATATGTCTGTTTCTTTTCTTGTTCTTCTTGTTCTTGTTTCCACGCCTTTACCAATTTTATACCTCTCAGTCTCTCTCTCTCAGACTTTTCCTTACTGGTGGGGTATAACGCAAATAAAAGGGGAGATGTGAAAATAAACGCAAATACTGAAAAGAACAACGAAAGAAATAATAATAATAATAATAATAATAATAATAATAAATATAGTGTGTCCCCAAAGAATAAACAAAATCATATTGCCACTCACACTACATGTATAGCTTTACAAGTATAGTGGAATGACTCCAAATAAAAAGACTTCTCTTTGTATAATGCGTTCGTATCGTCACTTATTTAACGATTCAACCACAGAAAATAAAAAGGTTAACACAAGTCATTCACAGTCTTCATTTAAATACGCCAAAAAGAAGACCCTCATCGTTCAATTACTATTGTGGGTGTTGTACTCTGCAAGCATTGTGTGTTCCGTCTAGTCCATGCACAAATCCCTCACTTTCTTTAGCCGCAAGCCGTAGGACTCTAATAGGCGTAAAGGCCACTTGGGGTTCACTAAACGAACTGAACAATAATACTCACTACATAAAGAGAAAAAACAAAATAATAATAAAAAAGAAAAGAATAGGCGTTGAGAATCAAAAAGAGACCTTTTCACTGTATATATATATATATATATAGACACAGAGAATCCAGGGAAATGCAAAAAAGTAAAGATGTGTGAAAGAGGAAGACAAAAGAGAAAAAAAAAAAATTCAAAACGTCACCTCAGCCACCTTCATTCACGTGTTCGATTTCCCAATACTCCTCACGTACCAATACTGTATCAGAAAAACAGAAAACACTAAAAAAAAAGAAAAAAAAAAGGCAACGCGGAATACACTTTCTAGGGTACGTGGAGAACAAAACAAAGAGGTAAGCACAGTATATGTCCAAATATCAGCATTTTTTTTTTTTTTTTCAATCACTGTAATTTAAATATTAGGGCCAAACACATCCTTCTCACATCAGTTTGTCGTTGTCCACGTCAATGGAGAACTCAAGAAAGAAGACGAAAAAAAAAACCATTAGATCAGCACATAGACACTCAAAGACCAACGAAATATGCAAAAATATTAAACAAACATATAGTAGTAATAGACTTATTACAACATAATGAAATATCTTTTTTTTTTCTTTTCTTTCTCTTTTACTTATTTATCCTTTCTGTTCTGACTAAAAACAGAGGAGATTTACCAAACAGCACTGCAACTTCAACACTTCCTTCTCTCACCTTAGCCCCTACGGCCCACCACCACTACAGAATAAACAAACCACAAGGTGTCTCTCTCTCTCTCTCTCTCTCTCTTTGTATAGAAGGAAATTCCTACAATGGCTTTCCTCCGGGTGGAGTGTACAGTGCCGCCGGATACGGCGAGTAGCCGCTTGTTGATGGATACTGTGCGGGTGGAACTCCACCTTGATTAGCGGGAAGTGCCTGTGGGTATTGTGCGGGTGGAACTCCTGATGCCGGCATAAGAGGAATCCCCTGTGCGGGTTGTTGTTGTGGGGGATAATATCCCTGTTGTGGTTGTGGAGGATAATACGGCTGCTGTGGTTGTTGTGGAACCACCCATGGTTGTTGATACTGCTGTGGGACGTAATGCATAAGAGCCGAGTTGACTGTAATTGGACCAAACAGAGAGAATGGTTTATATAAATCTACCGGCTTTGAACTGGACAACTGTGGTACCTGTGAGTATCGCTTCTGGCGTAGCATTTCTCTTGTTTTAATGAAAATATCCGCATACGTCAGTCCGGATGTATTTAATAACGCCCATGTTAACGCCTGCGTGGCGGCCCCACCAGCGGCAACAGAGCCGGTGCCAAAAGAAGACGTATTCGCCACATCTGCACTTGTGCCGGAGTCCGCACATCCACTAAACATCACCACATCTCCTTGCGAGAAGTTGTCGGATCGGGCCATTCGCATCTCATAGCGTCTACCCGCCATCATATTATTACCAGCCACAAAGACAAAAGGGAGATCTAACAAAGAGGCAGAGTGGCAACAGTCAAAGACGGCTGTCATGCGAACACCGGCGGGAAGTCGTTTCACCAACAATTCAAACAAATCATCATCCACAATGGTACCATTTCTCTGATAATCCAGTGGAACAAGACATTGATCGTACCTCTCTTGTGAGTCGCGTTTCGCTTTTGTCTGTGTGCCGTGACCAGAGTAGTGAAAGAAGAGAACATCCCCTGGGCGTACATCATATACTAACCATGCCATATATTTAATGATATTTTTTCGCGTTGGCATATCTGTATAATTAGGGAAACGAGGATTATCCACCAAAATACAACATTCTGAAATAGGAAACTGAATACGTTGTAAAGTTGACAGCATTTGTTTTACATCATTTACACACCCACTAAGCTGTCCTGACATTCCTGTGTAGTTAATGCCTATAAATAAAGCCTTCACACGACCATAGACATAAGGTCTAGGGGCTCGGTACGGGATAACAGGACGGCACTCATGCGCCATACGTAATGCTTCCTCTATGTTAACTGGTTTTGGTCGATCTACTCTCCCAATACTGTTAACAACATAAGGCAGGGCATTTGCTGCCAAAGTACCGGCAATCAAGCCAATAACCAAATCCATTCTCTTCTTATTTCTTTTTTTTTTTTTTGATTTTTTTTTTCTGATTTTTCTTTTTTTTCTTTTTTTTCAACTATTGAATTATTTTTTTCCTTTTTTCTTTCTTTTATCGTATATATATATACTTGTACGTCAGCAAGTGTGAATCCTTGACTCCTGATATCTTAGTAATAAAAATAATAATAATAATAACAACAATTGTTATTATTATTGGTATATTTCTTTTTTTTTTGATCTTTGTGCTTATTTAGTGCAGCTATGCATAAATATAGACATTTTACATGGAGAAAACAAGAATAGAGATCATGGTGAAAGAAGTAAATGTAGTAGTAACAACCATAAGAAGAAACATAAAAAAAAAAAAAATGAGAGAAAAAGGGAGGCCTAAGGAAGTCTCAATCTTATTTCCCTTCTCACCTCTCTCTCTCATTTTCACACACCAAGAAGGAAGAGAAAACCGATCAAAGAGGGGAAACAATAATTATACCTACACACAGATACACATCGAAAGAATGGAAATATAAACAAAGAAATGCAAAAAAAAAGAAAAAAAAACCAAGTAAATATGCGATATGCAGAGCGCTGTTATATATGGGTTATATTTACGATTCCTTTTTTTTTTTTTCTTTCTTTTTTCCTTTTGTTTGTTGCTTATTTAAAAGAACCATATGCGTCCATCAGGCCGAAGTCCATTCTTCAATAAGAAGCTTTCCACAACGTACTGACTTGGGGCAAGATAGGGACTCACTAATATTGTGTCTGCCAGACCAGCTACTGTGAGGTCTAATAATTCCTCATGTGCGCTTTCCACCTCCACACGAAATATTGTCTTTTCCCACCATTTCGGTTTCACCTCGAGTGCTCGTAAGTCATGCATCATCTCAACAGGGACGCTGATATACACAACATCAAATTCCTCTCCTCCTTTACCGTCTTGTTTAACATTCTCCATAATTTCGGTAATACGCTGCACTATCTGAGTGGGTGTGGGAGCACATTGAAATATCGTATCATTACTTACATGTGTTTCAAATTGTTTCTTTTCTTGTGGGAAATTGGCCAACAAATAAAGAAAATGATTTCCACGAGGTTCATGAATACGTTCAATACAATCATTCACGGAATTGTGTGCCACTACCGCTAATACCTTTTTATCTTTTAACACAAATTTTGTGTAGTTCTTTGCTTCCTGCACAACGGCGGGGTGTGGTCGCACCATTGACCGTGCAGCCCAGAAATTACGTTTACCGTAAAACTCATCATCGCCTGTGGCATCTCGGCACTGTTGCCAAAACTCCGTACTGTTCTCCACACCCACACAGTCCATACAGAAGGTAACGAGTGGAGTTTGTACCAAATCATGAAGAGCAGAAATACCACTGATATCATTCACTTTCCAAAGAAAGGCAAATGATACCGTCACGTTGGGATCTCGACGGTTATAGGCGCAGAAAGCCGCTTGTTGTAAAGCGTGTATACGTTGAAGTGTGGTGGCTACAACAATACGAGGTTCCTGTTCCTTACCTAATACCACTAATGGATTACCAGAACGTTCAAAAAAGGTAGGAACTTCTTTTTCTTCATCCTTGGGAAGAAAAACGGTATTTTTGTGTGTTAAATCGTTTGCATCATATTGCCATAACATACGTTTCATATCTGTCTCTTCCTTTTCTTGCCGTATTAAATGTACACTATTCATCATTTCCCTCCACTGTTGGATGAGGGATTCATCCGTGAGTAGAGTGCATCCTGGTAGACTAGAGCATAATTCCTTATACACATCCATAAGTACCCGCAGTGAATCCAGAAGAGCGGCTGTATGCATGCCAGCCCCCTCTGTGAGATTATGTAGAGATTGACGTAAAGAGTGTAAATCCTTTTCAGTTTCTGTTCCTGCTGCTCCTGGTTGAATATCATCTGCGCTGGTGTCCTGTATGAGCCCGGCCACCTCCGTTTGACACTTCGCATGTTCCTTCGTCAGTCCCTCAAACGTCTGCGAGAGGGTTCTAATCTGTTCCTCCATATCGGTATTTTCCGAGAGTTCCGCATGAAGAGTGTTGTTGTTGGTCGACACACTACCACTGAGCGTGAGGAGTTCACTGTGGCAGGCCTCATACATCGTGGAGAGATGCCGCTCACGTCCCTGTTGTTGATTATATACCGCCATGAACTGCCGCTCCCACGCCCCCGCGCCGTGGTTGTAGCCCAGCGCAAAGCAGAGAATAACCCCCACCACCACAGTGGTGATCACAAGAGGGTGAAATCGCAGTTCTGAACGGTTGTTTTTCATTACTTTGGTCAGGGAAATTGAAACGAAAAAAAAAGAAAAAAAAGAAACTAGGAGTAATCCAACTATATAACTATATAGATATGTAGTATTTTATCTGTGTTTTTTTTTTTGTTTTTTAGGAGAAAAAAAAAAAAAGAAATTTATACGGTCTTAAAAAAAAAAAAAAAGGCCTTTCTTCCTTTTTAGCTTTATCCCTATTTATTATAATGATAAAAAGTACCAGCAATACAAAAAAGAAAACAAAAAAGAAAAGAAATAACAATGTATGTAAGCATCAAGAGCACAAAAACATAAATAAAAAATATATATACATACATGTACGTATATATTTGTAAGCATATATATATATATATACTTTCTTTTGGAACCATTCTTTTTCGTTTCCTTCTCATCGACATTTTATTTCCTCCTACCCGTGTGTGTTTACGACCAGTTTATTAGACTTCCAGAATTACAGATATAAAATATGTGAACACAGACTTTCTTTCCTAGTCTGTTTTCTCTCTGTTCCCATCTTCTTTCCTCACCTTCTTCTCTCATTCTCTCTCTCTCTTTCTCTCTACTCTGCTCTTTTTTTTTTCTTGTTTTTTTGTGTTTTTTCTTTTTTTTTTTCTTTTTTTCTTCCTTTTCGACTTATCTTCGTCCTGCAGAGGTTTGCAAGAAGTGGCATCTGCAGAGAATGTACAGAGTTCTTCTCTTATGAATGCAACAATGGAAGTCGCAAATAATAAACACACTCATACATCCTTTAAATGTATGAGATGGAACTCTTGTAATGACAACAACATCCTTTTACAGTAATTTCATGATCTTCTCACGAATACCTGCGGCTCGTACTCTCTGTTCCGACTGTTCTGTTGGGTTACTAGTCATTGCCAACTCCAGTGCGTGAATGAGCAGCGGTAGAAGTGTGTATGGACGTTGTGAATGTGAGAGACGGTGGGCCACTGCAGCGGTCTGCTCCACTAATGTTAACACGGCAACGGGATGCATGCGGAAGTCTACCACATACAATAATGCCTTCTCTGCGGCCCGCAGTGTGACCTGAAGGAGTTGAATATCTGAAACCTCCACATTATTGTTGTTATTGTTATTGTTATTCTTGTTCTTGTTGTTCTCATCATACTGCTGGAGAAGCTCTAATGATCGTCGGTATTCACATAATGCCGCACAGAGTCGCAGTACATGCAACATGCGCAGATTGGCACTGGCATCAACGGAGATGAATGAGTTATTCACGGCCTGTCCCACGCGATAAACCTCCTCACTCTGCAATGCCAATGGAGATCGCAGTATCTTTTCAAAGTGTAATTGCAGAGATTTGGACTGTTGACACTCCAGCGCCAACCACATGGCAGGGGCTGTATTCGCACACAATAATCGTTCCTTAATGATATCCGCATTTAGAGCCTCCACAGTCTTTCGACGGTAAAAGTCAACAGCGGTAATCCACTTATCCACTGTTTGGCTTAGTGGATACTTATCACGCAGTATTTGCCGCAGTGCAAGTTGAAAAGGACTGTTTTCATCCCATGTGGAGTGAATAAAAGTGTGAAGGGCTAAACAAGTGTATCTATCCTTAACCGCCGTTGCCGCCCGTCTTCTCACAATATGAGAGAGAATAGCGGGATTCATAAAAGGTGAGTACATCACATACATCGCTGCCGTACGCCAAAGTAGTGGATGTCTACTAAAGAGTGCCACAAAGTCCTCCACTAATTCATTACGATGAAATGTGATGGACATGTGTGTTACCGCAGCCCCTAATGGCGGTGCACAAATATCCGCTACGTGTGCAGCCATGAATAGTAAAGCGAAGCGGCGGTATAATGTTGAATGTCCCTCCGTCTCTTCTGTGGAACTGCATACACTCGTACTCTTACCGTTCATATTATTATTATTATTATTATCACTGCTGCTGCTGCTGCTATTGCTGCTACTACTAGAACCGCTTCTACTATTATAGCTGCTGTTGCTGCTATCATTGAGATTTCCCTCATTGGTATCGTTAGAGGTATTATCATCATAGGTGTTGTATGTATCATTCAAATCCCCAACAATGTGTGGATTTGTTGGGGAGGAAACAACATTGTTATTGTTGTTATCATCATTATCATCATGATTCTTCCATCCTGACATGTATGCATTACACCGTACGGCCTGTCCAACAAGATGCATGGCCGTCACAATATCCACCACAGAGCGACTTCCCAGCAGACTTTCAATAACCCCAACATACCAAGGACCACAGACAGTACCTTTCCATGAGTCTAATGCACTCTTGTAAAGATGATGTAACTGATGAAGGTTCATGTATGGTTCACACACGGCACATATCGCAGCGATATAATCCATCACATCCAATTCTAAAAGATGACACACATCCAAAATTAACGCCGCATCACCACTCATCATAAGAAGGAGATCTAAACATAATGATTTTAACTGTCGTGCTACTTGCATGATCATATTAGAGTCATCACGTGATTCTGTTAGGATGCGTTTAGCGTCTATGATAAGTCCATTAGCTGTACTCATCCACTCTCTATGTTCCACGCTGTTAGTTGGAGGTTCCAACAATAATCGTATCACATCTGTTAGAATACCTTCTTCTTCAGCATCAAACGGAACCACAGCACATGAACGTAAATAGTCTACAAGAGAACTAATAAGTTCTGCAGCCACAGGAAATAATCCTGCAAGGAATGCGCGTTGAATCGATATCATGTAAGGACCCACAACTCCCTCAAAGAGATCTGTTTCCTCTGCTTGGGTGAGGGAGTCCTTTGAATACACAGCACTCAGTGTATCTCGCACCTGATAAATAGAATCCACATTCACAAATCGACTCCTATACCACTCCAAATACGGTGCACTCGCATTTACACCTTCCGCACCGCCTGTTTCTAATATGGCAATCACTGTTGAGACGAGTTCCCACACCACCTCGGCTGTTGGATCCAACACTACACTTTCCTTCATCGCCTTCAGACGAGAGAGAACTAGATCAGACCACTCACACAAGGTTGATGGGAACATTGTGAAAGCATTATTATTAGTATTGTTTTTAGTATTATTAATATTAGAATTATTATTCATGTTGTTCGTATGATTAGCAGGAGCGTTGGCAACACCAACCACGGCGGTGGCTCCCCAGCGAGCGACGGCGCCCTCCACCGCGGGCTGAACGGACTCACCGGTAGAATTGCCAAAGCGCACACGCTGCAACTGAACAAACGCATCAAATCCTGATCGCACAGCAGTCACGAGAGCAGGTGGTAAGTCTGTGCCAGTCAACTTCATTTCAGAAAACTCTTCTCGTTCTTTTCTTCTTTCTTTGTTTTTTCTTTTTTTTTTCTCTCTGTCTGTTTGATTTGTTTTCTTTTTTTTTTTCCTTGTTTTTTTTTTTCTTCTCGTTTTTCTCTTTTTCTGTTTTCGCTACTTCTAGTGCTTCTGTAGACACAAACAGAAGCCGTGCTGTTATCCCAAAATGTATGAAAGAAACAAGAAAAAATAAAATTAAGAAAAGGAGGAAAAGGGATCAAACTAAAAGAACAGGAAAACACTCAGAGACTATACACACTGAACACAATTAAATTACATATATAGAATTATAGAATATCAAGGAAATTTAAGAGAAAATACACACAAATTATATATATATATATATATATATATATATATACAGTGGAATCCTTACCACCACCACCACCACCACCAGAAATAGAAAAATAAATTAAAAAAAAAAACACAGTTCAATTGTCAATGGCCTGTGGAGACACGGAATCTGCACGTGGCATAAGCACAAGGAGGAGTTGTTGACACACCGAAGTGAGTTTTGTGTGAAGTTGTTTCTGCCAACTTCCTATTACCACCAGAGATAACAATAGAAGAAGTAAAAAGAAGAAAAGTTCCCGTAAGAAAAGTGAAACAAAATTCCCAATGGTTCGATCCACAAGAACAACGAGAACTCCTTTGGCTATCGATATCGCTATCACACTTGACCGCTTTGGCTGTTTAGAAACAAATTCAAGACCCACATAAGATGAGATGCAGGGAAAAACAATGTAAAGGGTTATATTATACACCTTTGAAAAGATCCGAAGTACTGATAATCCAACTAACATAAAGAGAACGGCAACATGCGCTACAAGATAACGAACGGTCGTTACAGAATGTACTCTTGTAAACGTCATCATCATAATAACAAACATGCCTCCTGTATATTGTCTCATAAACGAAGGATACTTTCCGGATTCCCGGGCTGCAATTTCCCTTAACTCATTCCGCATGGCAATAAGAATAATAATTGTTTGAATTAAGGCTACAAAGAAATGAGCTGCCATAGATGTAGTGGTATAAAGCCCTAAAATATAAACGCCCCAACCCCAACAAACACTCCATACACTTAATAGAAAAGATAACACCGCAACTAATAAAAGGCATATATACCAAAATAGTTTCTGTACAATTACCCACTCCTTCGCCAGCCACTGCATTTCCAGATACCAGACAAACTTAAAGAGTTTACCAATAACATTGATAATAGTCGTAAAACCAATCGCCTCAAAACACAAAGGCGCTAAACGCAAAACAGTATAAAAAAGACGACCTAAGTTTATACTAAGAAGTCGGAACAGAGGTTCAATAACTTTTATACATACTTCCACAATGACTATCTTTATTGTCTGTATACAATATACTGTCAGTGACCACTCTAAACGCCATGCAAAGCTGTAGGCGGTCCAGAATCCTGGTACAAGATCTACAGCATCTAATAACAGACGAACGGTATTAGATGATATCTCAACAATTCGAACCCCCAGTTGATACCAAAAGTTACTCTTATCATATGCATCATGGGTTTGACAAAAGGATACAAATATACCTTTCATTGTTGTGCAAGAAACCCCATATACTAACATCTGTGTATTCTTCAGGATAGAATAAATGTATGGTCTTAGCCTTTCCACAGCATACACAATAAATATCTTAAGAGTCACTAACAGATCGGAAAGTTTCGCCATTGCTAGAGTTGAAGCAGGAAGTATAATATGCTCTAAAATGTTATTGACTTGTTCAAGTATGTTTTGTAGAATACCTGGTGCTCGCCATATCCAACGAAGAGAACTTGGTATTTCCTTTTTCAATACACTTGGTAAAAATCTTTCATCATTTATTCGTTGCAAAAGATCATGACTATTTAATCTTGGAATACAAGTTAAGAATGATTTAACGTTAATACCATTTAATTGAATAAAATCCTGTAATTGTTCCAAGGCCTCTGTGCAGCCATTTGCTTTATGAATTTTATGGCTAGAGAGAAATACCCCACTGGTGTTGTACAGCTCAACATGTACATTAAGAAGCACAACATCCGAAACCAAGTTCAGACAAGCAGTGGGTCCAAGAGGAATGGTGTCTAACTCGGGTTTTTGCAATCGACATCTTATCGTAAGATTATGTAAAGTACTCTTAGTTCCAAGTAGTGTAATCTGATGCATGAATGGGGATTTCCCACGAAGACTATCTCTACAACTTTCCAAGGCATAAATACTCGTTTGATCCCCAAGTGATACCAAAACACGAGTTTGATTCCATCCCATGGGATCAGCAATAGTCCTATCATTTTCAGCCTCACACAATGTGCGTCTACTCACCTTATGATCCTCACAAGGCAATCGCGTTAATTTTACATCATTGTATACAATTAAGAAATATTGGGTGGAGGTGATACTCTCGGCGGGCCAAATGGCCACTTGTCCATAATACCGCGAAACCCACGTGGTCTGTGCTGGTGGTATTTCCAACTGCACTGTTGAGATCCACCGCGGCGCGGCGAGTGTCAAGACTGCAACGCACAACACAAACGTTGCGGTGCGGCGGTACGGGGCGGCGAGAGCAGCGAGGGCGGCGGCAATGACTGTAATGTGCGGTGCGAGTCCTGTGGGAAGGGCTAGTAGTAACAATGTGAAGGCGAGAAGGAGTAGAAATTTATGTGTGTAACTGTGTGTGTGTGCACGTGGACGTGTATAGGTGGAGAGAAGTGTGGCGATCACCCACATGATGGCCCGAACGAGAAGGGCCACTCCCAGTGCGGCGAGAATAGAGCCAAAACTGAGCAGCACATCCCTCTCCTGTGCAATAATAGGCATTCTGTATATATCTATATATCTATATATATATATATATTTGTTTAGATATATATATATGTGTCGGTTTAAATGGTTTCCTTCTTGCTCCTCCTCTTCTTTTTTTGGTATTGCCTGTCACACACACCTTTTCTTCTAAAGTTCTAAATCTAAAGGAAAAAAAAACCTATATATATGTATATATGTACGTATATATATATAAGTCTAATTGTAAAAGAATGAATGAAAGAATAAATGAAAAAAAAAAAATGATTGCCATGAAAGTAAGAATCTAAAAAAAAAAAAAATATCACCTCACTACAACTCCCACTCAACATATTGACACTACACACCTTTTAAAGCATAAATCAAATAGAAATTTGTTGGAAGGAAAATAAATGAAGAAACAAAGAGAGAAACAAGGACAAATACAAAAAGGAGAAACAAAAAGTACGAAACGTATCCATTGGTCTCCAACACATCTCGAAACGTGAACCTCCATCTCTTTACACACAAACAAACAAACAAACAAACAAACACACATACAGTCTCACTCACTCACTCACTCACTCTCAATCAACCACACACAGAGACGAATTGAAACAAAAACAAAAGGCAAGAAAGGAGGAGAGAAAAAGAGACAATATGTGTGGTCAAATGATCATTTTACCCTTTTAGGTGTATGCACACTGGCGCTATTGAACACACCTCAACTTGTCAGTGATCTTACCGTTTCCATTGTTGACACTGTCAACGAGTCTGTTGCTGTGATCTTCACATTATTGCTCAACGTAGTACTGCAACTGCTCCCCATCGCTCCCGCCCCTGTGGCGAGATGCAGATCCACTTCTCTACTAATGCGCTCCACCTCTGCGGCTATTTTATTCTGAATGGCTTGTCTTCTCTCCTCCGCCCGCCGCACCTTCGCGAGGACACTCCGCTCCCGTTCATTCCGCTCCGGCCCCTCCTGCACGACTTCTGTGGACCTCGTCGCTGCGCAGACCCGCTGCTTGAGGGACTCCCACCGCGTGTGGTCCTCGCGGCCCCACTGGATCACCTCCGAGACGAGCGGCTCATCCACATTCGTCTTTTCTTCTGTGCGGGCGGAGAGATCGCTGGGATTGCTCGCGGGCCGATCTGTGGCCAACGGAGAGGAGGTGCTGCGTGAGGTCCAACGGAGGCAGAGGTCCACAAAGCCCCGATACTCATTACCCACCATGGATAATAATACTTGGTAATGATTGTAATCACCATTCACAAGTTGACGGGTCATGGTAAGTAATGTCTCTACTTCATCCGCGTCGCAATTAGAGATGGCATCTACGAACCTACGAAAAATAAGGCGTACCGTATTTGCATCATGTCCATTAGTTTCTAATAATTGTCCAATAGTACCAAGTTCCAATTTATGAAAACCTTCTATTGTTGACAATAAAAGAAAACTTAAGTGTTTACGTGTTTCAAAGAGATGGCTTGAATTTTTCATACGCATACGTACCCATGAATTGTTGTTAACAGCAATAGCACTAATAGAATTTACAATTTCTAAACCTAAAGCAAGCGGAAGAGGATTTAATACATCCTCAATATTATGAAAGAGGGAATCCAAATTCTTGATAATATTCACAGCATCACTTTGATTGCTTATTACACATCGATTCTTCGTAAAGAAGTAAACAATTTCTTCGAGAACAATTCTTGTTAAAAGAGGTGATTGCTCTGTCTGTCGTATAATACGCACAATATTAGCTTTAGAATTATGGCTTATATCAAGAATAGCTAAACTACGAATGATATTTCGTGTTCGTTGTTGAATTCCACTAGCATGTTTCTTTGGAAACTTTGGTGGTAAATCCACACCACTGTTACTTGCTGGGGTAAACACATCCCTTACGGCATACCATAACCAATTTAACCAAGGAAAGGGTAATAACATCATACCATTCTCAGGACGATCCACAATCTTTTCCAAATGATTGAGAACACGAATGGAAACAGACTCTGGGGAATCTTCTTGTGTAGGAGAAACAGCAGAAGCCGTACTAAGATTATCACCCATATTATTTACAAAACGATCTTCTGATGGTCCTGTATTCGCATCTGTACTACTTTCACGTGAAATAACAGCATCACGAGAATTGGATCCCCCAGAGACATTACCCCCAACACCAACACTCATTCCACGCAGTAAACGTTCCAACAGACACAACACAGTGTGAATGGCCTGTGGTACCTGAAGTGCACACACACCGCTTCCCTGTTGTCGGATACATCGATGAGCATCATCCAAGTAGAGTCTTGTATCTGTACTGTATGTAAAGTCAAGAGAAAAATCAAAACTGTATTCACGTCGTGTTACTCGTAATTTCTGAGAGACTAATCCTGGTAAATACCCTTGTAATCCAAGTGTTTGTCCCAATCTTCCTTTAGATAGTGTCGTTTGTTCTTGATTTTTTGATAGACGCCGTTTAACCTTACTTGAACATCCCTGTTGTAGATGTGATAAGACAGCCGTATCTTCTGTACTCGGTTGAAATGCATCAAAAACCATTTGAAATAAACAATCAAATGTTGGTAGGCGTATAGGAACGGATGAAGAAGATGGAGATGTCATCACTTCTGCAAGTACTTCATAACCGTAAGATTTAATAAATAATTCTCGAAATTTTTTGTTTGTATGTTGCATAAGAGATATAATACGAAGAGCAAATATACGAATAACCTCACTACTATGATTTTTCCCTCCAACAAGTCGAATTAGAAAAGAAACTCCACAATTTCCAAAAGCTCCACCTATAAGGTCACACATAGCCGTATTGGTTCGGGCAATATCAAATAACATATGTAATAAACCTGCCTTCACAAAATCAACTGTTTTAGAATTGGGTTCAGATAAGAGAAACTGTAGTGTTTGCTCCATTTCACGTGGTTCCTTGCAGAGTCGTTCTACAAGAATAATAAGACCATCAATACATTCTAATGGAAGTTGTTCACTAATTCGCAATATCTGTTCAAATCTACCTGGTACTCCTCTAAAGAGGATAACATTCTCTGGTATTTGTAGTGTATCGCTAAGTTCACGCAATATACAGGAAATTACTGTAGAACTCATTATTCCCCGTTCACCAATTACATCCAAGAGAAGTGATAGAATTGTCTGAGTGGTAGGATGTGTACGCATTACTTTACCGCCATTGCGTGGAATGGCACAAGCAATGAGCACCGCCGGCACCTCAATTGGTATATTTTCCCATGCAAGTACAGCCTCTCTCAGGTGGGCAATGGCATGTTCATCCACCATTTGATTCAACTCCTCCTCTGTGGTGGTTAGCTTCATAGCGGTACAGATAAACTGTACACAGAGTCTGGCAACTATTGGAAATGTGAGTGGTGAGTTCTTTGCCTCTACAAGTGTACGGAGAGTCCAACGCACAACATCTTCACGCATAAATATTTCCCGTTCTTTCGGTGGATTAAATGCAACTACACTTTGTACGGAAACTCCCTCATGTTTGCGTGCTAATGTTCCTGTAACCCCTACATTGAGAAGTTTGGTACCAGCGACGGCTTGACTCTCCACACTAAGAAGTGGATGGTATGAGGAAGTGACATCCCGTGAGGGTCGTGGTCCTGCTTGATATAAACGTTGGATATCTTTATCCGATAAAGTGTTTTCAAACAATTCAATACTTGCCACAAAACCGAAAAATGATGGTTCATTACAACAACCTCCAAATGCAAATTGAAGACGGTCTTTTCTTGAAGGAGATTTAGGATAGGGAACGGTAAGACTATTTTCTGTTCGTCTTCCATTAATAAATATTGTAAATCCAGTCATACTATGAGTAAATGCCAGATGTGTCCAAGTATCTGCCTGAAAAGATGTATCTGGAACCAACGATAAAGTGACTTCTGTTGAATTCCGTATCTGAAATAATAAACTACACGTTCTACCATTAGCGACTATCATCAATACAACCGCACTACCAGAACAGGCATCTGTATAGGAAAATAAATGACTCCCTTCTAACCAAACACATTTTGGATAAACCCAGGCAGCAAAACTATAACCATAAAATCGGGTAGGAGGAAAACGATCTACCTTGCAAACCACACTGCTACCTCCAGAGAAAAATAACACACCATGTGGAAAACCTGTACAACTAATAACATGTAAAAGAGTTTCAATAATATCTGCATCTGTTTGAGTAGTCTGTCGTAAAGACATTTCTTTTAAGCCATATTGAAGCATTGGTAATGTATCTTCCGAAACATAAAGTGATGACATGAGGCTTATAAAAGAAAATAATAATCGTACCGTATATGCATTCATGGCATGAGTAGCTGTATAGGTTTTACCAGATATAACTACTTCTCGGGGGAAAACGCTTTCCTGAGGAAAAGTAATTCGTGCTATAAGTGCTTTTAAGATTGAACTTTTTGCAAGAACTTCAGCATTTTGAGGTCTTGCCGTACAGAGTAGCATTAATGTTGAAATAACACTACGAAAAATAAACTCTGACATAGTATTTTGAGTATCAATACAGAGTAAAGCTTTTGCAATAAAACTACAACTATCATCAGAAATAACACAATTAAAAACAAAAGATGCTAATTGCCAAACATGAGCAGATCCTCCCATTAATATAGTATCCCAATGAAGAGGTAATGGTTCATACCGTCTACTTGTACGACTTAATCCTGGTGATGATAACGGTGAAGGTGTAGGTGGTGGAGAACTATTTGCATTTAATACACTCGAGGAAACACCATTATTTACGCTATCTTCATATAATGTCTGACGTCTAAGTGAGAAACTATCATTTGTAGCAATCTCTACAAGAAACTCTACCAAGTCTGAGGCCCAAATCTGTGCCCCATCTACGGTTATAATCACATCTGTCCCAGCGGTAGGTGTGGGAATAGATATAGTTTGCTCAACTCTCCATACATTTGAAGCTGCCTTTACCCACAGTGCTGTCAATTCCTCAAGATGTTCACTACGACATAATGTTTTGTTTGCCGCACATCCCCGCATCATAGCTGTTATTAAACCAAAGTACACAATAAATGCTGTAATTTGTACGCCATCACCTAATTTTTCACAACTACCACTTCCCCCTCCCCCTCCTTCTTCTTCTTCTTTATGGGCAAGTTTCGTGCAGGTGTTAATAAGATCCGAAAGGAATCCACTACGTCCACACTGAACACGTGCATTATCTACAGGAACATTATTCACATCTACTCGACGAAATATCGTGGCAAGAAGACATGCCCAGTGTACTTGCTCTGGAGTCACCATTGTTATCTCTCCTCCTCTCTCTTGAGGTATAAGAAGTCCACGACTCACAGAGAGGCATTCTTCAAGCATTAACTCATTATATCCTATTATTTCTGGTAAAACCGCAGCAAAAGCCTCTCGCACCTTCTTACTTAAGGGAACACACATAAGATACCTCGTCATATAGGTTCCCAAATGAAGTCGAATAAATATTTCTACTGATTTTTCCCCGTTGGTCCGCATAAGAATCTTCAGCACTTCTGTACATGTCAACATCGCTGATTCTCCAATGCATTTACGTGCTGGAGTTTTTTTCTGTGAACTCCCATCTCCAGAAGAATGTCCTGAAGGAGCACCGTTACCTGACGGGTGACCATTACTATTACCATTATTATTACTATTACCATTACCATTATTACTATTATTATTATTATTACCATTATTATTACTATTACTCTTACTCTTCCCAGTGCTATTATTGTTGCCGTAGAACTCCAACTGAAAAGCAAGCTCCTCTTGGAAGCCTGTCACCCACATCTCTACTACGCTCACATCAGCAGCTAACCGCTTTTTTTGCCAGCACTCTTCAATGGACTTAGCCGTAGAAAGAAGATCCTGCTGTCTAACGGTCATGATGTCTTGACTAGATGACATAAAGCGTCGTATGCTACTTACAGCCTGTTGGGCGAGATCGGCCAGCTGCTCCTTCGACAGTGTACGCTTCATTTTGTTTTTTAATAATAATTTTATATAACCGTATAGGATGGATACAATATAATATTAAAAAACAATAATGACAATAGCAATAACAATATTACTAATAATATATATATATACGATCCGTGCAAAGAAGTATGTAGATAGGAAGGCGGCCCCTTGAAAAAAGAAAAAAAATAATCTTCTTTTCTCGCCGCCTACGCGTGCAAACCTTTAGAATGACACGAATGAGAGTTTTGTGTGCTTGTCCATCCACGCATGCGTATGTGCATACGGGGTGTACGTATAAAAGAAAGAAAAGAAAAGAAAGAAAAGACAAGAAAAATACGAGAATAAAGGACGAGATAAAAAAAAAAAAAGAGAGAGAGAGAGAGGGGTCAGAAGAAAAGAATAAAGTAGTTATAGAGAGAAAAAAAAAAACGTAAAAAAAAAAAAATACAAGTCACAAAATAAACATCCTCTAACTCCCACTTCTAACTACCTGTAGAGAAAAATACAAAAAAGAAAAGATCTACAATGATGTAACAAGATATCTTTAAAAAAGGAAAAAAAAGGGGGAAGAAGAACCTGTGATTCTCGCTTTATGTAACTTTGATAATCTAAATAGGATTCACATTCTATATTTTGCTTTTTTTTTTCCGCCCTTCCCTTTGCAGTGAAATAAAGTACCACACATACAAAAAAAAAAAAAAAACAGTTACTCAGTCCAAAAACAAAAAAAAATAAAAGTAACAAAAGGATAATTTTTCTTCTCTAGCATATTTGGCAACAGTTGTTGCAATCAACTTCTCTTCCCTTCTTTTTTGGTTTTCTAATGCGCACTACATCCACGTCGGTAGCCGAAACCTCATCAAGATTAGTATTACTAGCATTTGTAACATCCGGAGCTGCAACAAAGGACGAGGAAGCACGATTCTCTTTACGCTGAGATTTCTCCACGGGTGCGAGTTCCTCATTAGCGCATAAAGCATCACTAGTACTGCTTTGATTGAGTGAAGTATTCAGAGCAATGTCCTTCAACTCCTCCGCTAATGGCTCAGATGGTCCTCTTTTCGTACTCTCTTCATCCACCCAACTGCTGGGAACAATCGAGGGAATATCATCCGTCATCCGCAATCTCTCGCCTGTATTCTCCTCAGCAGGCGGCATCACAGTTTGTGGAATCTGAGAAGGTGAAAGATCCGTACCGCGCGATCTCTCTGAAGCCGCAACAGATGGCTTCACGACACTTGCCATCACAGAGAGGGTTTGATTCTCATTATTCCCACTGGATGCGGGGGTCCCATTATTATTATTATTATTATTATTATTATTATTATTATTATTATTATTATTACCCACTACCACAAGAGCTCCAGTTTCTGGGTGTGTAATACACTGTTGTAAACTTGTGGCTCTTGTTACGGTGCCACTTGTATACGGTGATGGTGCTGTTGTTTGTGGTGGTGGGAGGCCGGGTGATGGTTCACCTCTGCTGTTGCTATTCTCCTCTGGGGCTGATGGCTGCGGGGCGATCCATCTGTTTAATGCATTCTTGCTGTTACTGTCGGTATTGTTTCTGTTGCTACGGCTACGGCTATTACTATTGCCTCGGTGAGTGGCCAGGAGTGAGAGCCGCTTCTTTTCGGTATCCTCGTTAAAGTTTAGTGTAATTGGTTGTAGTGAGGGATAATCCACATCCACCTTACGTACGGCCGTTGCGTAAACAGGCTCCATACGTGCACTACGTGGGGTGTAGTAATGGGCATCACTTGCAAACATGGCTTCCTTAGAGAGATACTGCATCAGAATTGTTTCCATCACCTCTAGACGAATTGTCTCGGAGTGTGTGGGGTCCAATAACTCTACAATGGCCTCCACCTCACCTGACGATATATCTGTTGCGGTGCATGTCGTCAGTACTGTACGAAACTCACTTCTACTGAGCATTCCAGTCCTGCGTACATCAAAGGCACGTTTATAGCGTTGAACCGCGTCGAACTCCAACGCCTTTGTCGGTTCGAGATATGCGCAGAGTTGCAGAAACAACGGGAAGTTCAGACGACGGCCGCTGCGCCCCACAACCTCCATCACAGCGCGCTGCAGTGCCTGAGTGGTGGGATAATACCCCATCTCCCGTGCGGCTGCCATGAAGAGACACGGCGGTATGTGCGCCTCCCCATCGGGCGACAACACACGGAGGGTGTTGAACACATCCAGCGCCGTCGCCGAACTCACAGACTGCAGCGCCACGTTGCTCATTGCTGAAACTATCCCTGGAAGAAATATATATATATATATATATAATAAAAGAGAAACAAAACAAAAAATAGAAAAATTCAACAGGAACTAGTATTCCGTTAATAGTAGGAAGATCATTGGAGGTTACAGGAGTAGCGGAAGAAGGGAAGGAAAGAAAAACAAGTTAAGCAGCAAAGAAAAACGCACTCTGCAAGAAAAATAATAAAAACAAAAACAGCATGAAAAGGCAAACAAACAAACAAAGAAAGAAAGAAAAAAAAAAAACAAGAATAACCACTGCAACAAGAAAAGAGGAATCATTTACACCTCATTTTCAACTCAAACAGATGATATTCCTTTTTTTTTCTTGACTGTGTTGATCCTTTCCAATAACATCTGGGTGCTGTTCTGTATATTGTGCTGATCTTCCTTTAACTGTGTCCCCCATTTTTCAATGGACTTCTGTAGGGATTGTAGTGAAGAAAGTGTACCTTCAGATGACCATTGCTCAATCTCCTGCATCGCCGCTAATTCAAAAGCTGTCTCTTCTACAAGCGGAGAAATAAGATAGAAACGCCCCGTCAATTCCCTTAACCGATCACATACCTCATCCATTTGCCATATATTCTTTACAAATTCATGCAATTCCGCTAATGTAGTCTCATCATTCCACTCAGGTATTTGAGGTCTTGCTGCGTTCACAACCGCAGGCCAATTTTCTAGTTGTTGAAGAAGTCCTTCTGTACGGAAAAGTAACTCTTTAACGGTATCACGGTTTAAAAACTGTAGTGTAGCACGCACAAACTCCTTTGCCTTCACTTTTTCTTCAGTACTCTCATGACACATCATCCAATCACGTAAGAAACGACACTGTGACTTCATTCTATCAATTTCATACCACGTACCGGACGATGCTAGAGGTGGTGAATTCAATAATGGTGCATCTTGTGGATATACCAAGCGGTGAGATTGTTTAGATGTTAATAAAGTTGTGTCTTCTAAAACCTGCTGTGGGATTCCTGTTACCACAAGTTGCGGGGGTGTATCCACATGGAGTTTAGCACGAAGTTGACGCAGTGCCTCTTCTCTATTAATACTAAACTGCAACACAGCATCATTCTTCTCATGTGAAGCCGCACTCTGGGGAAGCAGAGGTGGTGGTAGTGATGATGTTGTTAGTGGTGGAATCTCTGCATCGTCATGATAGAGAGTGCCGTATCCTTCGTATACACAGTCATCTGGGATAGTAATACGTTGCGTCATAGGACACTACACACAAACCTGTCTATTTCAACTGTATGCAAGAATAAAAAAATAATAATAATAATGAGTGATTGAAATCATGGGAAGTGATTTGAGCCCACACAAAAGAGTTAACTCTTACTTCTTGTACCATCACCAAAATTCTCTGTTCTTACCTCAGCAACAAAAATTTGACCAAAGTGAATTAAGTAAAAATAAAATAAAAGTAAAAAGTAAAGAGGAAAGAAAAAAAAAAAATATATATATATATAAATTATAAACGTAAATATGGAGCAAACACCACCATATTATTCTTTTGGTAAAATTGCATACCACTCTGGTCGCCTAGTATCATCCAAAGAATCCTCCAGGATTAACACAGATGCGTATTCACGCCCTGTGGCTTCTTTATACATCTGCAAGACCTCTTCCATATCGACCATGAAAGGTGGACCCCACGTGCGCTCCTCTGGGATTAAACGCAGCATCCGCTCATACGCGACTCCCGCTGTTGGCGTCAGTACTTTGGTCACCGCCTGCACATATGCCTTGTGTAGATCCGGTGGTATTGCCATCATTGCAGCACGATCGTACATAAAATCCACCTTAAGATTCTTGTAGTCATCAAAACAGGGCAATTTGATGATATCGCCGTGAAAGAGTGTGATACGACTCTCACCATCGGTTGCCTCGTGCACGACGACCTTCTCTGCAACTCCAGCAACACGGTCCAATGTCCTTGTTCTAAAACAGGCATTCTTAAAGTTCTTCTCTCTCTGAAGGTTAAGTGCGTGATCATTTAAATCGGCGCCAATAACATGTCGAACCCCACAGTCCACCATGTATGAGAGCACAGCGGAATCACCACAAAGAGGAACCATCACCGTCTTCTTTGCAAGAAAACTACGTACCGCTTCGTGTCTTTTCGAAGCTTCTTCTACCGATTCGTTTTCTCCCTGTTTTTCTGCGGCTACAAGCCCAGCAGCTTGTAAGTAACCATATAAATTTCGGGTAAATGGTCCACAGCGCTCTCCCATCTTCCAACCAGTGTTGTTGGTCATCCATGCCTCGGTCCAGAACTCAGCAACATTATGGGTACCCAAACGCATTACGTTGTTTGTATAAGATAAAAGATTAGCCTCGACACCCACCCCTTTTTTTTTTTTTCTATGTATGTTTGCTTGCTGACTTTTTCTTTTTTTCCCTTTTTACGTATTTGCAATGTATTATATCCTGTCTTTTGACTTATTTGATGTATATCCCTCCTCTAAATTATGTTGCCTTGTTTTTTTTTTCTTTTTTTGTTGGCTCCTTTTGTGCTCTAAATGCCTAAAGGGATGTGAAAGAAATAGTAAGAGAGAGAGAGAGAGAGAACTCTTAACACAACGTTATACCACATTCCAAAGTTTTAACCAGGTGACTAAACAAAAACAACTAAACACTATATTGATGATAACAAAGCTAGACGGTCCTATAAATCTAATCATTGAAATGAAGCATAAATACAATACAATAAACACCATTTAACATGTGCACATGTACACAAAAAAATAAAATTAACAATCACATGAAAACAATAAAAAAAAAACGATAGAGGACAAAACACATACGCAGTCATCGGTTTCTGTATACATTGTTTCTTCTTTCGTTGCTTCACTTTTTTTTTTTTCTTCTTTGCTTTTCACGTTTATTCTAGCTATTTGTGTTCTCCATGACGTCAGGCCCCCTTCTGGATCTCATCTAGTCTTCGCCAGTAATGTTCGCCTTGCGGAAATGAGTTTGAACAATGCCCCGCGTGCCAGCGCGTCAGAGCAGAGAATACGAACGAGTTGCCGTCGTGATGTGCCCTTTGGCTGTAGAATACAATCAAGTGCACCATCTACATCATCCTCATTCAGTTCGCAGAGTTCTTCTATAACCAGCTCAACAGCAGCAACACCTTCCGGTCGAACAAGGACGAGATGATGAGGAAAAAGCTTAGCTATTGCCTCATCGCAAATAGAAACAGGTTTAGATCCTGGATCTAGTTGCGCATAAACTCTGAGAGGGGCGGAAAATTCTACTACACGAAGAAAGGCCATTTCTTGCGGTGTTAACTTTTCATCATCATTATTATTGTCAATTCCTTTATTGGTGGTAGGAGCTGTGACTCCAGAGGGGTGATTATTTATAAATTCACCATGCCTTGAACTACCCGATGAGGTAGAAGAAATAGCAGGAGATACTGGTGACGTCTCATCCTCAAGAGGTTTAGATAATTTATTATCTCTCAAATGCTGAGCGGAGTACATTAAATCTCTTTGTCTTTCTTGTCCTTCTCCTCTACCTTGTTGATGTTCTTGCAGACAGCGTCGGTTTTGGCCCATACCATTTCGGGATTGAATAGCTGCCAATTTTTGTTGAACTTCTGTAATTGCAGAAGGCACACCATTACTATTATTACTAACACCATTACCATTAACATTACCAGATACTGTTCGTTGTGTCCCATCTGTGAATGGTCTTAATGCATCAACTGAATGAACACTACGGTGTTGGTGTTGCGACTGTTGTGATGGTGAAATCAATGATGTTGTCTGCATTACACTCCCTGGTGTATTTGTGGGGAGAGAAGTCGGTTGAGGTGTTGCTGTCGCATACGCCTGACGCATCTGTGCATAGAAAGATGAGTAACTATGTGTTTGCATTGCGTACACTCTTTTTTTTTTTTTTTAGTTTTCTCTTTTATTTACAGTCGATTTCACATAAAAAAGAAACGAAAGGGAACAATACCAAATAAAAAAAAACGGATAAAAAAAGGAAGGGCAACAATACATACTCATTACAGAGATAAAAGGATATGCCCAACCCAAACATTTAAAGAAAAAAAAAATGATATACACTAATATATATTAGTTTTCCTTCTTTTTCATTAATATCTTCTTTTTTGATTTCTTTTTTTTTTTTCTTTCTTTCACTCAACTTGATGTCAGAACTCACACTTTCGCACGTTTAATATGCAATTAGAGTCCAAGATAGGTATTGGGGAGAGGAGTAATTTATAAATAGATATGAAACACACCATAACTGTGAGAGCTCAGAGAAGTTCTCTGTGTCTGGCGATATGTTCATCCCGTAGTCGAATGGCCTCCTGCAGGACACTTATCTGTTCTGCCTGTGCCTTCATGGTGTTGTCCTTCGTCGCGAGAGCCACCAGCACTCTTTCATTAATGCTTGTCAACTCTGCATTGTGTTTTTGTTCTATGCTCTTCTGCTCTAAAGCGGCTGCATTCTTCACCGCCTCTAATTCTATGGCTGACTTTTCAAGTTCGTGCTGCATTGCACCAACTTCCTCCACATGTTTAATTTCAAATTGTCGTAGTTTTCGTTGCCATTCGCCATCAAGGAGATGCAATTGTGTGTTGCACTCACTACGAACCTGGTCTTGAATTTCCTTCACACGTTTGTCCGTTATCTCAACAGCTCCTCGTAATCGCATTATTTCTTCCTCTTTTCGAGTTATTGCCTCCATAGCACTCTTCAGTTGCTCTTGCAATAACTCTGCCTCTACACGAAGTCGTTCATTCTCACGACTCATTTGTGTATATCTATCACGTAAGACACTATCATTACCGCGGAATTCCGTGAGTGTTTTGACACGTTCTTGTTCTAATCGTTGTGTTGCTTCTGCTACTGCTGCATCTCTTTCAGCCTCACACTTGCGCCGGAGTTCCTCCTCCTTGGCTGCTAAGTACTGCACATTGTGTGCTTGTGTTTCCTTCTCTCTGCAAGTGAATTCCCACATGAGTTTCTCCTTAAGATCAGCTATAATTTGATTAGAATTTGCCGTTATAGATGCAACCTCTTTTCCAACTGCCTCATGGAATGTCGCCTTCTCGGTAGCAGCGGATTCCTTAAGTGCAAACAACTCCTTCTGTAAACGTGCTATTTCACGTTGTGAAGTGTTTTTCTGCTCTGTAAAGAAAGCCTCCATATCTTCTCGTTGTTGCTTCCATGAACGTCGTTCCTCATCTAATTGTCGATTCACACGATCGGTCTCCTCCTTAACTCGGTCGTGAAAGCTTTTTTGTTCGCGTGTTATCATAGCCTCCGCGTCCCGCGCTAACTTTGCCTTCACTTCCTCCACTGTTGCCTCTTTGGCAGCAATGACTTCATCCCTCTGTCGGAGTTCGTTTTCAAACTCCTCTCGCATTCGTGCCTTCTCCGCTTTATGTCTATTCAAGAGTAATACAATATCTGGTTCAAGTGATTGAAGTGTACTCTCCTTAATACGTTTGGCCTCTGCAATTTTCCACTTCTCACGAGCCGCTTTTTCTTGTGTTTGCCATCTGGTCTTTAATTGGGCAATAGCAGCCGCATTGGCGGACTCTAATTTTGCCGTTTCTTCTTCTCGTCGTGACATTTCTTGTCGCAGTTGTGTAGTGAGTGATTCCACTGCTTTTGTGAGTTGAGATTTCTCCCGCTGCAGTTCCTGTATAGTCTGTTTATGCTGCTTCTCAGACTCTTTAAATGCCTGACGTAATGACTCCAACTCTTCATGTGCGACTGATTGCACCTTCTCTACACGCTCTGTTTCCCGCTGTCGTGCTGTACTTAATCGTGTCTTTAACTCTTCATTCTCTGCCCGAAGTTCTTCATTGTTAAAGCGCAGTGCCTCTATTTTTGCCTTAATACCATGATAGACACTCAACTGCGGTTCCATACCGCCGCCAATCACGTGTGCGGCGAGACACGAAGTGGAGGCACTACTGCATTGCGGTGCAGGCGGTGGTCTATTCTGAGGACTATAATGTGCACTATTATCATACCCCATAGTGGGATCCTGAGCCATCATCATAGGAGCAGATGTGAGCGCTTGATGATCCGCCTCATGTCTGGCAGCCACAGCCGCGTCAAGATATGATAGAATGTTCGCCACCTTCGCCTCGTTGAGCTCGCGGAAGTCGGAGCACACACTGCTTGCAGCTCCAGGCCTTGTGTGCATGGGAAACTCCATTATTTATATATATTACACACAAAGAGACACACAGAAACAGAGAGAGAAAACCTAACGTTAACAATGCGAATAGAGGGAGGGGAAAGACCCACCGTATTCAAGTGTGCGGTCTCTTTCTGTAACCTTGCGTGAACTCATATATATACATATAAGTATAGAGAAGAAAAAATAAGAAAAAAAAGAAACCATAGAGAGTAAAGACAGTACGAATAAATAGCTTTTACTCGAATAATTAATAGACCCAGTAAAAAGAAAAGAAAAAAAGAGAAAAAGAGAGAGAGAGAAACAAGTAAATATATATACTGGATACCGTAATTATTGTGATAATGTCATTGATTTTATTTCGTTATTTCAATATCTCCCAGATTCATCAAAGAAGAGATGCAACCAACATGTCTCAAAGTGGGACGTCCATGAGGACAATTCCATGGCTGCTCAAGTTCGCCTAATCGACTCACAATAGAACGCATAGTTTTCTCAGAAAGTACAGTTCCTATCATAATACTAGACCGACAGGCTTTTGTAGCCATAGAATGCCACACACATCGCATTGGTTTCGTAATGGTACCATAATGTACTAACTGCTGGACTAACTCCATAACATCATGTGGACCCACCACCTCGTATGGAAGTACAGGAACTGCAGATACCAACAACTTATTGGCATCTTCACCACGTTTAACTATAAAACCATGTTTTCGTAACTCTTCAGAGTGTTCTACTGCTAAATCTACATCCTGTGGATCCATTGGTACAGGTACACAAGTCACGAGAGGTTGTGGTTTTGCAACATATTCTCTCATAAGAGTTTCATAGTTAAACTTTTCATCTGCAGCATGCTGATCAATCACGAATAAATCATCATTAAGTGAAGCTATAATAAAACCATGATTAAATTGACCATGTATAGTCATATTCTTAAAAGAACTTTTTTCCAAATGCATTGCAAGTTCCTTCTCCGTCTGTTCAGTTAAACCAGCAAACATACGTTTACCCTTTCGTCCCTGTGGTAAATTTAAAGGTATTGATTCAGAAATACCATGTATAAGAGGTTGCTGTGCCAACTCATTAAATGAAGGAAATCGCATACCTGTTCGAAGTCCTGCAGGACGTGGTTGATTTGTCTCATCCGTTAACACAATGGGTGATTCATATTTATCATCACCATCTTCATCATCATCATCTTTCGATACAGAATAAGAAGAAGAAAAATCTGGTGAACCTTCCAGTCGTTCTCGCTTCCTTGCATGTAGTGAAGAAACATCTTCTCTATTGGATTCTCCAATCACTGAAGAACATCGTGAGGATACAGGACTCGTACCAGTAGAAGAACAACTACTCCTCTTACTACTTCTGTTAGAAGCACAACCACAACTATTATTTCTACCACTACAAGAAGAAGAATCAGTACTACTACTACTACTACTACAACTACTTTTACTTTGACTCTCATTACTGCCTTTATCACTATTCGCTTTCTTTGACGAATCCATCGTCTCCTTTGTAAAACTTTGATAAAGAGAGGAACACATATCTGACATCCCTACAGAACCTGAGGTGTCTGCTTCAAAAGAAGAATGTGCAGGTGTGGGTTCTGCACGTCGATACGTAAATTGTGTAAGAGATGTAGCGGAAACAGGAATACGAGTGAGTTGTGTATTTCTTGTAGCTCTCCAGTCGGCTTGTTTTGTTTGTTCAATACGCACATGTCTTTCTACGTTAATACTTTCACTAGATGCTCGAAATGTCAGCATTGCCTGTGACCGTACTTCTTCTGCATGTTTCTCTTCCTCCATAAAGAAAACCTTTCGTTTGTTAGGTGCCAAATTTACATCATATGGAAGACTATCAACACAGACAAGATGAAGAAAAAAAACTGGATACACACGTTGGGCAGCATTTGGTTGACATTCTGCATAAGCATCACTGATGGCTTTTGATATCAATGGAAGATCAACAAGTCTTCCATCTAATGCTAGAATTTGCATATCTGATGAGAGTCGTCCGGCGTTTGATTTTGAAACAAATCCAGTAATAGTAGCAAAGGAACAATTCCACTCCACACGTGCCATACTAGCGAGATAACGTCCACCATAAGCTTCTGCTAGAGCACGTTGCATATCATTTGTACCCGTTAAAGAAACTAACGTTGTTGGTGCACTTTGCGGAGTTGCGTAATGAGTCATTAATAGACGTACCTGGGGATGAGAAATGGCATATTGTTTCATAAGAGATGTAGCAGCGAGAAGCTGTTTCTTCCTATTCTTGTTAAATTCACCATGGCGTACAGGCAAAGCTGCAAAAAGTTTTTCTACCACAACTGTAGTACCCGGTTGTTGGCGCTCTCGTGTAACTTTAACACTTGTAGAATGAGTCTTAATATCATATGCGATGGAGATGGTGGATGGTTGAGTATTTGGAGTCATTGTATGAATAGTAACTTCACTTAGGTTAGCAAGACAATGCAGTGCTTCTCCTCGAAAGCCAAGTGAATCTCGCACTTGTGCCACTGCAGTATTTTCCTCATTTTTATACTTTGTTGTGGCTCGACAGACAAGAAGTGGTACAGAAACGTCATCTCTTACAGTTCCTTCACTGTTTAATAGATCACCTACCGCCATTCCACTACCATCATCATCCACCATAATTTTATCAAGACCGTGATTTTCAATTCGAATTGTAATTGTACGAGACCCAGCATCTAAACTATTCTCCACCAACTCCTTTAAAACACTTGAAAGATCTGTAATAACTTGTCCTGCACTCAGTTTCCGTGCACTTGCTGCATCTAAACGTGTTATCATTTAACTCGAATTGATTTTTTTTTCTTTTCTTTTCTTTGGCGGAGGGTTTATCGCCCCTTCTTCTAGTTATACCAACACAAACTCCAAAACGAGAATCGCCTTCAACTCTTTCCACATACAGAGTTGTAACAAGATAGAAGCGCTAGCAAGAAATAAGTTTTGTTATGTTTTATTTTTTATTTATTTTTCATTTAAAAGAAAAGAAAAGAATAAAAAAAAAAAAAAGAAGGAATAAAAATTCAGAGTAAAAGATGTATACAACAAGAAAAGATTATCTTTAAAAATGAGATGATGCATCACCACAACAGTAGTGATGCAACCCTCACAAAAAAACAATAAAACCCCTGCAAGAAAGCAAAGAAAAAAAAAAAAATTTATTTATAAAACAAAAAAAGAAGAAAAACAAAGCAGTTGAAAAGTGTTTCAAGGGGAAAGTTTCATGAGAACATAGGTAAAGAGATCCTATTTCTCATCATTCTTTTCTGTTTTCTTTTCCTCATTGCTTTCTAGTCCATCTGCTGCATGGCCTTCTCGGCTGCGGTCACCTTACCCTTGCCCTTGTCGCTCTTTGTGCTGCGGTCCTTGCGCTCAAGGATGGCCTTGCGGTTGTGGTTCAGCTTCAGCTTTGTGATCTCCACGTTGGATGGGTGCACGCCAACAGGCACCGTTGTGCCGTTTGCCTTTTCGCGGTTCACCTTGTCGATGTGAATGGCCCACTTGAGGCGGTAGCACGCGGTGACCTTGCCCTCGCGGCCCTTGTACGCCCCGCGCTTCACACGGACCTCGTCGTCCTTGCGAACAGGCATCGCCCGCACGTTGTACTTGGCGCGGAGTTCCTTGGAGAGTGGGGCGCTCATGAGAATGCGGCGCACGTGGCTTGGCGCCTGGAAGTGCGCGCGACGGGCCTTTCGGCGGCTTCCACACTTAATGCTGGCCATAATCCACCTAGAAACACTCTTATGTATGAAAAGAATCAATAGATAAATAAATAAAAGTAATAAGAATAAAAATAAGTAAATAAATAATAATAAATAATGAACCACCAAGTTTTACTCCAGTTTTTTTTTTTTATGATATTATATACATATGTATATTCACAGAGACGTATAAATAAATAGATATATATATATATATATATATATATAGCCCGTACACAAAAATACACAAGTATTGGGCACCATACTGTTGTACACACCCCAATTTGTACGATAAATCGAAAAAAAAGGGAAAAAAGGAGAGAGAAAGAGAAAGAGAGGAATAAGTGATAGGGTTTACAAAAACTCTAGAGTGTATCTTTTATTTTTTTTTTTGTTTTTCTTCCTTTTTTTTTTACTTTTATAACTGAGGTTTCTAGTAAATACAGAAAGCTAATACACCTGTCGGGAACGAGTACCTGGCGTGCTGTATTGGCCGCCATTATAACGAGCGTCGATGTTTTGACTTCCCCGTCGGTAATGATCATCAGGAGTGGTGACATCTGCATAATTATTTCCAACTCCATTTGGGTAATCATTTCTACTGCCATTGTTGCTGTATATTCCTTCACGTGAAAGGCTGTTACCGTAATAGGAAGGGTGCATTCCTCCATTTTGACGTGATCCTCCACCAGAGTACGTGGCGACTCCCGCAAACTGTGGTTGAGCCCCTACCATTGGTGCACGAACCTTAATAAGTTTAATCATAATGAATATCCATACACGTACGGCAGAATACATAAGAGAGATACACGTAAAAACAAATGAAGTTCCCTGCATTCCATTTGCGAATTGTACTATCCAGCATATCTTCACTTCGATAACAAAAAGTGGTATATCAGAAAATAGTAAATTCACTAATATACCATAAATTCTACGCCTCTTTGATACTTCTTCTGGTTCAGGAAATCGCCAGGCCCACATGTAGAATACAGAAGACACAAACAAATAAAATACAGCTGCTACTATACTCATTGCAAGATATGCATTCACAATTGAACTTCCTAATACTGCATCTTGATAACATACCCATGCACAGTAGTTTGCAATACAAAGCAACGGATGAATAAAATGAATCAAAAATGTCAAGAAAGTGATGAAACGGCTTGTGACTCCCATCCATTCAATGATGTCACAGTCACACATCACTGCTGGTGCCTTTTCTTTTTTTTGTTTTTTTTTTTTCTTTTCTTTTCTAAATATGTATCGCTATTGGTTTTATTTTCTTTTTTTTCTCTACTTCTATTTAATTATTTTTCTTTTTCTACTTTGGGTAGAGGGAGGAAGGTGAAAGTTTTTGTTGTATCGCGAACACTCGTATAAATGAGTCTCTAAGGAACAGCTTCTGAAGCTATCACTATGATATACACCCAGTTAAACATAGGGTGGAGGCAATTAAGAAAAATAAAACAGACCAATAAGAGGAAAAAGAAAAAAAAAAAGAGAAGAAAGAAGAGAGAGAAATAATAATTACCAATAAAATAAAGAACAAAAGAGGAGTGATTAACCCCATAAACAGCATACACACATATAAACACACTCTTTCTCTCTTTCTCTTTTTCCCTTCATTCGCAATATTGTTGTATACCTCTATCACACTTACTAATTCTTTCTTCTCTGCTTAGAGACAGGCAGAGGACTGGTTCAATCTATGGGCCACAAGGGATGCGTGAGTCTGTTCGAATGTCTGTTCCAGTTCAGCTGCAGGCTCTTTTAGAGCCGTCTCTTCACTCTTCAACTCATTTATTTTACTCTCCAGGCGTTCCAACTCCATCGCCTGGGATTCTATAACACCTGCACAAGCCGATATTTGTTCTTGTAAAATCTTTTTCTGATAACGTAATTGTTGTTCTGCTTTTTCCGCACTCATAACAAGCCGCGTGAGTTCTTTTACCCTAACTTCCAACAAACGTGTTTCCATATCTGTATCACTCTTGTTACTCTGGCGGACTGTACTTGAACGATGCGAAAGGGGTTCATTTATTCTCTTCCGTTGTGATTCACCTGAGTTCTTCTTTGCACTTCTAGATCGATTTACTTTGAACATTTGATTCTCTCCTGCCTGAGAGAGTGGTTTTCGATCTAAACGAATAAGTTTTGGTACTGCCTCAAGGAGTAATGGAACTGTATCAGAATTCTCCATCACAGGGTTTCCATGAAGCTCAAGATAGCGAAGTGCTCGTAAGACTCCAAGCCTTCGAAGTTCTTTTATATCAACTATACGATTAGAACTTAAATCAAGGTTTGAAAGGTGTTGAAGCGTAAGTAATGGACTTACAGAATCTATTAAATTTCCCTGTAAAATCAATGTAGATAATGTTTTGGGAAGATCACCTATACCTGAACTCGTAATACGATTAAAACTTACATCCAACTCTTGTAGTTTTGGAACGGCGGACGCTAAACCTCGCAAACTTTGTAACTCATTATTTGATATTTTTAAGCGTGCCAAACAACTTGGAAGACTAGTGGCATCGAGTGAGTTCAGTGAATTATTAGAGAGATCTAGAACTGTTAGGCACCACAGCGCCTCTCTTCCTGCAAAAGATGTGATATTGTTGTGTGATAAATCCAAGGCCCGTACAGGAATGTAGTTTTCCCGTAATGGTGCATTCTTTCCTTGCTGAGGTTTGTCAGTAGCCTCTAGCAGAAGTGTTGTGGCATCAAAACTCTGAAGGCCCCTTCTACACAAACTTAATTCCATTTACCCTACTTCTAAATGATTCCAATCATTCAGAAACATTCGTGATTAAGAAAAAGGAAAAAAAGGGAAAAAAAGGAAAAAAAAGACAATGAATACCTCCCAACATTGTACGTATAAGCCCTATAGAAAACTCTTGGGAACCAATACATATATATATGTGTATATACGTATATAATGTGTGTTTTTTTTTTCTTTGTTTCCCCTTGTGGTGGTTGCCATCCCTTTTTTGTGTTTTTATTCTTTTTTTTTTTTTTTTTGTTACGTCGCATCTGTGACTTTGTTATCAACTCTTTTTTCAGAAATAGAGACACACACACATACACCAAAACTCACATTTCGAACACACTTAACCACTCTTCTTCCAGACGTTAAGGGTGTTACTGCCTACACAGGTAATGAGAGTAGTGCTGGGGAGTTCGCTTCCTGCTAAAGATGGATCCTCCTTGGTTGCACATGATACACCAAAGTAAGCTTCCAACAACATAACTGCAGACACCAACCCTGTAGTGAATTGAGCAAATCGTACGGTTGATACTTCATCTGGACTAAGAGCCATAAGAAGTAAGACAAGCATTTGATGATGAGCGTCTACACAACCACCTTCAAAAACCTGATCCAGAAGAAGTTCTGCAGCACGTTTACCAACAACCTCAGGTGGTTCATGTGGCATAGCAGTGGTCTCTTGTGAAATAACACAGTGTTTACTGGTTGTTTCAGCGACAAGAACAACACCGTAACCACTAGAGGATTCTCCATTATATCTCTTGGAATTATCTAAATCTGTTACCACATAAACATCAGGAAGAAGATTCAATAGAACACCTTTTGCAGCTGTAGCGGCTCTCTGAGAAAGATCAGCTGATACACGACAACCAAAAGAGATACCACGAATTCGTCGAACCCGACCTCGCGTTGTTGCATCAGCTGAATTTAACTTTCTTACTGCTTTACAATGTAAGTCAATAGCTCCACCTCCACCTGGATGAACTCCACGTCGTATAATACGTACACTGCAATCTACTCCAAAGAGTTGTAACCAGCGTGTGGTCACAGTTCGAAGAGTATCGACAGAGAGATCTAAATCACTCTGTGTTGATCCCAACAAAGTTAGTTTTGTATCAAACTTTGCAAATGGAAGCATGAGAACAGCAACTTCAGCTATGTATGTTACGCAGCGGCTACTGGGAACTTCATGCGAAAAGGTCCCACCAAGGATCATTCCTGGATAAAATGTTAGCGTGGTGTTATTATCAGTGCATTCAATCCTGGATCCACTCGTTACGCGATCAATAAACTTAAGAAAATTGGCTTCAGCCAACTTAATTCCCTGCGGCTCATCCTCGTCGTGAATTCCAGAAATGCGGACCGGTTTGTTAGTGAGCAAGCTGCAGACAATATGGTGACGGAACAAGCTGCTCCCCTCAAATTCGAGCATTGCCTTACCAAGTTCTTTTTTATTTGTTTTTTTGTTTTTTTATTGAGGAAGGAAGGTGTTCCAAATAGAATAAGAAGAAGAGTAAAAAAAAAAATCTATGTTTCAAGAGAATAATGGAAAAGGGCATTCTATTTCTTTTTTTTTTCTTTTTGACTTTCTTTTTTGTTTTGTTTCTTCTTACCTATCAGTCGTTTTCATTTCCTCGTTTACAAGAATAACAGGAAAAACCATGTCTTCGTACCAAGAAAAATGTTGGATTTTATAATGATAATGTTTATAGGAGAAAAGAGCGATAAGGAAACCCAAATCATAAAATAAGAACAGTATCAACAATCTACCAACATCCCTTTTTTTTTTTGTTTGCGAGAAAAACAGGTGTAACTTTTTTTTTTTTCCCTCTCTCTCTCTCTCTCTCTCTCGCTCTCTCCAACCCCATCACCATCATCATCAATCCCATTTTAATTATGGAAGAGGAAAGACACTGTAATGAGATAATAAAAAAAAAAAAAAACACACAAATAAAGTGGAGTAGAGAAACTCAAAGGACAAGCTCAACTCATAAGTTTCGACCAAGGCATTGATTTCCCCATGTTTTCCTCACCAGTTGCGTTCTTCACTAATTTAACATTGAAGTGTCCATCTGACTTTTCAAGGACTGCGCGATCAATTTTTTTTCCAAATTTCTCTTCGTCATATCCCTTAGAAATAGTCTCATAAAGTTTCCATGGCATAGGAACAATGTGTGATTTGGCAAGTGTACATAACTCACCACATTCTTGAATAATAAATTCTTTTTTAGGACTATTTCCATGTTTGGATCCTGCGGCATTTATTCGTTCAATAACATCAAATCCACCAATAACCATAGCAAATATCTGTGGGGCATAGTCACCAGCAGAGACATGAATAGCAAAGTTAGGACTCTCCTTGTTAACACCATACGCAATAGAGGACAAAGCCCCTCTCCATGATCCTGTTCCGAGGTACTCTGTGGGTAAATAGTGTGGATTAAACCCAGTGACATCATGTGTCATTTCCCTTCCATCACCAAAAATCAAACAGTGACGCGGGACAATAGCACTCAAACGCATTCCGCGAAATGAGTCACCTGTACCTCCACTACAAGTACATCGTCGATGGAAATACTCACAATAAAGAGGACAATTTTCATTAAGAAGTCCGATAACTATTCGACCAATATCGGCACCATTTTCAGTGATATCAAAATATACAACACTTCCTATACGCAGGTCTGCTGGCATATGGGCTACACCTCGAAGCATACGTTCACTGGATAGTTGGGTACGGTAAAACACGTAAAGAATTACCAATAATAAGATAAAAATTGCTATACGAATCGCCAGCATAATGATAGCATATTGTCGTGCATGTTCTTCACACCAAGCCATCATCACCAATTCAAGATCGGTCAATATACGCTGAGGAAGGGGAACCTCTTCTATTAATGTGAGAGGGAGTCGCTTTACTCGTGTCACTGCGTTTCCCTTATCATCTCGCACAACAATTGCATCATCATCATCAAGACGTGATCGACTATCATTACGGATTGTGCAAAAAAGTGTTGACGAACTACAAAACAACGTTCGGTGAGGGTTACGGACAGGAGCCGCAAATGTTTGTACACTTAGAGTCGCCGTGATGTGAGCGGCCCTTGCGACACGAACGCCACCAGAAACCATTCTAAAACAAAGCATCTTCTATGTATCCTTCTTTATTATGTTAAGAAGGAGGCTGCCAATGGAATGGCAAGAAGAGAGTTGATGATACAAAATACACACACACACAAACAAACGAACAAACAAATTTACTTTTTACTTTCCTCTTATGCCTCCCGAAGAGTAATGAGACTTATTGCATAAAAGGAAACGAAGAAGAAAAAAGGTTCATACATAGGGTATGTGCATGTTTGCATGTGTGTATATGTTTGCATACATGTGCAAAAAAAAAAAAAAAAAAAAAAAAAACCAAAAAGAAAAAAGAAAAAAGAAAAAAAAGAAAAGGAGAGATAGAGAAAGAAAAAGTAAAACAGAAAAGGGTAATCTATTTTCCGTCATACACACCAAGATGCTTCTTCTTATTTATTTATTTTTATATTTTTTTTTTTTTTTTTGAGGGTGGAAGGGTTAAGCGAAGACACAAAAAAAGGCTATCAAAGACCATGCGAACTGGATTCTTTATATTGAAAGCAAAAGACGCAGGGCGAAAGGGGGCGAGATCATGGCAAGAAAAAGACTTGGTTGCTCATCTATAGTATCACCACCACAAGGGTTCCAGACTTTTGAAGAATATATACTACGTCAGAAGATATGCTGGCAATAATTTTTTGTTTTCTCTTTGGTGTGTGCGTGTGTGTGTGTTTTTTTTCTTTTTTAACCATCACGTTCCTATTTCTTTTTGCTTTTTTTTTTTTTTTTTAATAGAAGCAAACCTTCTTCCTCAAAACACTAGCATGATAGCCCCTAGCTTTTGTTTCGTTTCTTCTTTTTTTTTTTCTTTAAAATTCTTCCTTCACAATTCTCTTTTTTTTTCTTCTTTTTTGCTTCTTTTTTCTTCTAGTTCTTTTCTGTTTTCTTTCATTGCTGTTGTTGTTACACAGTGGTCGTCTTATTATCCGTCATCTTGGCCATACACTCGGCCCTCACTGGATCAAAATAAGGATGCTGCATGGCTTCTAACGCCTGGACGCGTTTTACGTGATCGTACTGTAGCAGCTGATCTAGAAAGTTAAGGGCCTCAGGTGGACACAAATGTTGATTTTCCGGCGTTATAAACAGACTCCATGGTTTCTTGCTGTGACGGCCTACTGCTGCTTCCAAAAGAGGAGGAAGCGTTAAATTATATTTCTGAAGATACTCAAATAGTTCATCGGTTCCTAGAACTTTGGCAATGCGAACCAGCTGATCATTATTGTCTTTTCCATGAAAAAATGGTTCCTTCATAAAAATAATACCTGCGAACATACATCCAAGAGACCACATATCAAGACGGTAATCGTACATTGGAAGTTCAACTAAGAGCTCTGGTCCTTTGAAGTATCGAGAAGCTACTCGAGCATTGTATGTTGTAGCAGGGTGATAAAACTCTGCCAAACCCCAGTCAATAAGAACAAGCCTACGCCGTTTGTGATCAATTGTAATGTTGTTTGGTTTTACATCACGATGCATGATACCCATTGAATGTGCATATTCCAACGCTTTAAGAACCTCAAAAATGTAGTAACGTACATCATGATCTGATAATATTGGAAATATTGTTCGAAAATCAGAAGCCTGTACGTACTCAAAAATAAAAGAAGGTGTTTTACTGCAAGGGTCACGTACCACGTCGTACAGTTCCACAATGTTAGTTCCTCCTTGTAAATTCTGTAAAACCTTGAGTTCTCGCAATATTTTCTTCTTTTTCACAGGTTTTAATACTTTTATTACCACCTGACGACAAAGTTTGGTGTCCCACCCTAGAAACACATCGCTGTACTTTCCGCGGCCAATTTTCTCAACTATCTCGTACCTTTCAGGGGAGCTCCACTGTATTCGTGCGGTCTCATAATCCCAGTACTCTCGCGGTTTGTCCACGTTAACACGAGCGTAACGGTGCATACCATCTGTATTAGCCTGTGGTGACGCAGACATCTTTAGCATTCGCTCTAAGCTTGTTTTTTTTTTTTTTTTTTTTGGGAGGGTTAAAGAAATTCATTGGATATTGTAGAAAAATACAAACAAAAAGAATAGATATGATGCGACAAAATAATAATAATAATAATAATAATAATAATAATAAATGGTAATAATAAAAGTAGTAATAACAATAAATAAAGAGGGCAATGAAAACACATATCACCTGCACTGTGGAATCAAGCAAAAGAAAAAAAAAAGCAGTAGAAAAATAATAAAAATAAAAGTGAATTACACAAACAGGCAGTAAGCGATAACAACTAGTCCCCATCCCACACACACCCCGCCATCAAGAAAACGAAAAAGTAAAAAAAAAAAAAACAGATTCAGGGAATCGCTCTACTAACCCCAGTATCAAAGGATGGCAACACCCACTGGTGTGGAGGTGAAGAAGATAGGGTGTGATTCGCTAATTGAGGATTACCACCTTATCCTCTTTTTTTACTGAACGCTTTGACAATGGAGCGTGCTCAAGTCCCAAAAACGCCATTTTAAGAGGATTTTCTTGATTAGGTTGATAACATTGTCTATCGCAAAACTCAAATAATTGTTTTCCCATAGGTATAGTGGGTACAATCTCCACTACGCATTTTTCTTTTACCAAGGTCATTTTCCAATCTACCACCGCTGCTTCACTAAGTCCAAGTTTAGAAGCAATCCGTTGCAGAAGAGAAGGTGGAAGTTCATGATAACCAATATAAATACTGAAGGGATGACCATGGGTTTCAATAGGATTTGTTCGTTGACGAACCATCGTAAAATGATGTACTTGAATTAGTGATTGGGATTCCAATGGAACACCTTCTATAGGTCGTGGAATTTGTTCAATACGATATTCTGCACTCTCTTCAAAAGTAGAACGTTCAAAAGTGCATGGGTTGTCTTTGTCAAATACATTGTAAATTCTCCCACTCCAAACATCAACGAGTCGGAGTACTTGCCACGCATCAGGAGGAACAAGATTACTATAAAACAAAGCATCCGATTCAAATGGATTAACTTGATTACAGTCTTTTTCACTCGAATTTTTTACAACAATAGGAGTTGTTGGGAATGAAATGATATGCGAAGGTTTTGCATTTTGAATTTCATTCACACATGTACTAAAGAGTTCTTTGGTAGTAATAGGAAATGCACGAGGCATAAGTATCCAATGTTCACTCATGGGTTTTACATGCTCGCTAAATAGTTTAAACTGTAGTGAATGTGCCGCCTCAATTTCTGTAACTGTATATTTACAATATTCGTAATAAAGATATTGTGAAAGGGAAACACAATGTTGAGAAGGTGATAGCAATTTTAAAAGTGTTGGACGGACTTTCTTCGTTCCTTTCATGAAGTATGGTAATTTCGTCTCTGGGTTGTACATAGTAAAACGAATACGATCATAATTTTTTGGATCACCAATAAGTTGAGCAACGTAACGTTGAAGTTGTTCATAAGTCATATCCTCTGCAAGTTGTGTATTGATAAGTGTTGGATAAGTAGGCGCTAAATTTAGTTTAATTTCCACAGGAATTCGGTGACGAAGAAAGTGTTGAAAGCTTATAACGTCAGGATAAAAAACATTACATTTATTTTCTAAAGATATTTCCTCTTGCCATACCAAAACGTCTCCAGATCGCAAATATTCTGGACATTTAGAAAATGTATTATGTTCACACTCACATAATACAGATATTTCCTTTTCAGGCATTTCCCCAGATTCTTTACAAGAGAGAATACTTCCTCCCATGGTTGATTCAAGAGAATTGAATACTAGTAAATCAGAATCATCTATACATTTTGAACCCATTCTTGTTAAATGATGATTACGTGTATGAGAATTTTCATCAGGAACTTCTAAAATAGAATTCCTAATAAAAGGTTTTATTAATTGTAATACTTCTTCTGATGTAGTATGTCTCTTTCGTTTTATGACTGTGCATCCCAAAAAAACCACTTTTAATTGTAGTGGAATGTATAGTTTATGATGATATATATCATACTCTAACTCTCCATCTCCATCAACTTCAACATGATGTGCATTAGTGGAACTAATAACAAGGACACAGCATTCTTTTTCTCCAGATAAAATATCTGATACAGTTAATTTACTAGTAATTTGTTTATGTAAATGAAGAGAATTATTTTTATCTCTTTTTGAAGTATACCAAAGTGTTTGTTCAGAAGTTGGAATACCAAGATTTTTTTCTACAAATGATTGAATTTGTGGAAGAGCTTCTTCACTCAATAAAACTCTAAATGTTCTAGTTGATGGAAATTGTTTACCTCGTGAACGAGAAGAAGAAAGAAATTCATGATCTTCTACAATATCCTGAGGTTGTATAAGATAAATCTTTCCATACAAATGGTCTTCAGCTCGCTCTTTTAGAAGTCGTACATATTCTTCATGTTCACGTTCTAATTGTTGAACTACATGCAATGGAACATCTTCTGGTCCCACATGTCTTAGTAAATGATTCATTTCAGAAGTTCGAATGTAAATTAACATGTAAGCGTTTGTCGTATTTGGCACTTCAGAACCCCAATAATTTACTTTTACTCCACCAAAATTTGCCCCAAAAACATCTCGAAGAGAAGCTGGTGAAACTATTTCATCATTAAATCTGTACCACACATTTGAACATCGTAAAAAACAAAAATAGTGTCCAAATCCAGTATTTGATCCTGAATGAACTAACACACTACAGAGAGTATAATGTGTATCACTTTTAGAAGCATGAGGCATATATGTTGATAAATCCAATTCATTATAATAATCCCAACGACTCAAAACTTTACTTTCACCTCTTTCTAAATCGTAGTCAAAACGTGTTAAATGTAACAACATTATAGGTGGAGTAAGTTTTAATCTTACACCTTTTTCAGCCCGATGATACGATTTTTTCCCATCAGATTCTAGACAATATTTGTTTTTCCCATCAAGAACTTCAACTTGAAAAAATTTATCTAAACTCATGTAAATATTTCTTGTATTCTTTACAACAAGTTGTAGATCGTAAAATAACTCTTCTCTCGATCCGTAATAATCTACTTCATCTACACGCACAAAAGATTCCAAGACTCCTACAAATAGTTTACTAATAGCATTATTCTTTACCTTTGTTGTTTCAATACTTCTTTCAGGAGTCTGAACGTTATTAAGCTTATTTTCTAGATTATCCAGTAATTCACAAGTCATCTCATGGACGTCATGTTGTACAAAACTATCTGTAGAACTCCATCCAAAAGATTCGGTAAGTTCCGTAGTATCGACTGCTTCATTTCCTCGTTGAAGAAGACAAAATAATCTTTGAAGAGCATATGGAATGGATTTTGTTCTTTTGATATTGACATCATTTTTTTCTTGAGCCTCTTCTAAAGTTGGCATTTGATATATTGTTAAACGAAACTCCGAAATATGAAATAATGATTGTAGAAGTGAATTCAAATAGCATGTAGCTCCTTGATTTAATAATCCATTGTATTTTATTTTGGATTTCTTATCCCCACTATTAAAACTTATCGCTCCCTTAGGACGGGGAATCTGAACATCTGTTTCTTCATTTTTAAACGCAGCGCTATTAACAAAGGAATAACCAAGAAGAGGTACAGTAGAAACAAAAGGACTCCATTGTTGTGCACTTAAATGGCGATGAACTATACAATTTTCATCTATAGCTCCAGAACCGTAAATTGCCGTTAGTCGTTGTAGTGCTCTAAGAAATACAGGATGAAGGACGTCATGAATACAACACTCCTCAAATACAGCGATGCGTTCGGCACCAGTCATAGTTGCTAAATCTGCTAATGTTGTTTGACATTTTTCTAATGCAGCTTCGGGTGGTAATAAATTTCTGTCATACAAAGCATCGTCCCAAAATACATGTCGAACAACCTCAAGGACATTCAACATTTTTCGCTTCAAAAGTGAAGTCAATGAAAAGAAAGAAGAGAGTCCACAATTAAATCCCCAGCACCAAAAGAAAAAAAAAGGAAAAGAAAACAGAAGAAATTGAAAAATAATAACAACTCTCAAACAATACAATCATATCCGTTTTGTTTTTTTGTTTTTTTTCAATCGAAAGGATTTTTTTTTTTTTTCTCCGAAACAACTTTGACGCAACCAATACTTTTTTTTCTACATCATTCACCAGGGAGCAAACGTCAAAAAAAAAAAAAAAAAACGTCTAGAAAGAGAAGGAAGACTACATATCTGAAAAACGCTGAATAACAATAAGGATAAAGTCCTTATCAGGTGCCACCATGATCTCATTCTTCTTACTTCGTATACGCAAAAAAGAGAGATCATTTGTTGGGTCAAGATCCCTCACGCAATGACGTGCTTTAGCAGCCAAAGCTGTAATTAAGTGTGCATACTGATTCTGCGTTGCTGTATCCTCAATGGTACTTTTTATTGGAATACCCTCATTATTCACGACAATTATACCTGTTACATTAGGTCTCTGACTAATCCGCTGAAAGGTTTCCTCAATCTCAGACATTATCAAGTATTTATATATACGTATATAAATATATTATTTTATTTTTTTTTTTTGCACTTTTCCCTTTATGCTTATCCTGATCTTACCTTTTCAAGGAATAAAGTAAAATATATGTATCAAGGAAAGAAAGAAAAAGAAAAAAAAAGCTTATGGGTGTCATTAGCTACTACACGCACACAGAGGGCGTGAAAACAAAAAAAAAAAAAAAGACTGGCAACCTGACTTAGAATAAAACCAAATTATTGATACAAGCCTCAGAACACAAGGGCGAAAGGGAGAAAAAAAATTAAAAAAAAAGTCAAACATACCGTACTAATCTTGCTTTCTGCGACTTATTATTGCAGAGTTCCCACGAGAACACATCTTCATAATTATAAAGAGAAAAGCCGCACACACACCACTTAGGATTAAAACAATATCTAAGTCATGTCGCTCAATTAATGGTAACCGAGCCCAGCGACAAAACATCACATCTGTACCTTTTCCCAATATTCCTACTTGTTCGATAATATCAGTGGCCCTTTTAGAACCACCCAAAACATGACCCATTCTATTAATACTCAAAAGTTTTTCTTTCATTTGAGAATTATTTATCACTTGTATTACAGCATCAAAGAGTTGATAAGGATTAAAAAGAAATTTGTTCAATACAATACCGACACCAGCATCTTTTACCCTCGCACACATATCAGTTTGCTCTGGAAGAAGAGGGAGTCCAACTAATGGTATACCACTTTCAATACTCTCATAAACAGAAAAGTTCCCACAATTAGTTAAAAATACCTTGGTATTTTTATGACTTAATAAAGAACGTGAAGAGAAAGGGAACTGATCAATTATTTTGAAGTTTTTTCCATTTTCTTCTTTTAATGAACGAGTATTACGAGCACCATAAGTCTCCCATAAAACACATATACCCGCTTTTTTTATAGAGAGAATAATAAATTTATCTATATTATTTTTCCAGCTATTAGGCAACATAGAAATAGGTCCTAGATTAATGAAAAGAATACCATTAGAGCAACTATTCATCCACAATTTCAAATCGGTATTAATATCTAATAACCCTTCAACAGGTGGAAACAAAAATCCAACGGGATGCACATTCGGACAATACGGTTGAGGAGTATCAATTCCAAAAACAAATGGAGTAATGATATGCCTTTCATATAAAATAATCTCAAGAGAATCGCCAGAATTCGCCTCTCCTCTCTTTCGAATTCGTGTGATCCAGTAGTTAAGCCGTTGAAAGAAATAATTTTTTGCCCTATCAACCAAATTCATATGAACACTTAAACCACTTCCACGAGCAGGAAATGAAGGGTTCATCTGAGCGGGCCACTGAGTCAATGACCAGAGAAAAATAGTTGGTATATGAAATTCATTAAGAACTTTTTCGGCATCCCATAAACCAATATCCATTAGTACAACATCGGGAAGTAAACTATTCTTTTGCAAAGTATTTTTGAGCGCAGATTCAAAAAACATATTAAAATTTCTAGTGGAACCTTCTATTGAAAAAAAAGAAATTACCCACTTTAAATTAAAATGCGTTTTTGTTAACGTTTCTTGGTAGCTGTAAGAACCATTGTACGTACCAACGGTGACACACCGTTGATTCACTTCCCTAAGACAGTTACTCATAAACTCCTCTGGAACGTAGACCTCAAATTCATGTCCGCGAATAAGCAATTCCTTGATAATAGCCAACATTGGAGTGAACCTGGTAGATTGAGGAAATGGTATTACACCAATTTTAAGACCATCCGCTCCACAAACAAGGAGAAGCAACATTCCCATCAACATGACATAAAAACCACATGGTGTATACATTATAACTAACGATTATTCTGTTTCTCAAAATACCCCTTCTCTTTATGTGACAAGGGACTTTTCGAAAAAAGACCAATAAAGAAATAAAATCAAATAACATTAATCCCCAATACAAAACAAAAACTTAATCAATGCACGTGATGTAAACAAGACAATAGCGAAAAAGACAGGAGGAACTTAACAATTGAATAGATTTTCATTTTGAACACATCAACAAAATAAAAAAAATAAAAACAGACACACGCCCCTTCGAGACCACATTACTTGAAAAAAAAAAAGAAAACCATGAAGAAACCACATAAAAAAAAAAAAAAAAACATACGCCAATATCAAGAATAACCAGGAAAAGAAAAAAAAAAGGGGGGATATAGCAAAATAAAAGGAAAAACATGGAGAAGGACCCCCCGCCACCGAATCAAGGAAAACAAAAACCCCCAAACGCCCACGCGACCCCGGCAAGGGGGGAAAAAAAAAGGAAAGAAAACAACGAAACACAAAGGAACTAGCGGCGCTGAACTGAAACGCCAAACACCCACACCCAAACCCAATTCAAAAAAAAAAACGCGGAAAAAAAGACGCCGGGCCCCGCTTCTTCACTCCCTTTTCCTTCCAGGGGAAGCACCTTTACGCCGGCGGGCCCCCGGGGTCACCCGTGCGGGAAAAAAGGGCGCCAATGCAACTTTTTCTTTTTTTTTCGACCCCTGAACCCCACAACGGGCGCGGCGACGGCCCCAAATGATTTAAAAAATGGACCCCGGCGGCGCGGGAAAGAAAGGAAACCCACGCCCTGCGGGCAAAAGGCCCCAACCCCGTGGGGCCATTTCTGCTCCGGGCGGCCGCTCCCAAAAGCAGCGCGCCCCGCGGCCCGCCCGAAACCGGCCCCGCCCCGAGAAGGAGGAGGAAGGCCCTGGCGCTCCCCGGCACCCGTCCCGGCGGGCCCCCCGCGGGGCAAACGCGGGCAGACGAGGGTGTTTGTAAAGAACGCCCTCGCCAAACTTATTTTTTGTGTTGGGGTTGGGGGCCTTCCGCTTTCCCCCGGAAAGGTTTTGATTGTTTTTGTTTTCCCTGGAAAAACTTGGCGTTTCGGCCGCAGGGGTAAGAAGGGGCGGGCGCCGGGAGCCAGGTGGATTCAGACCTTGTTTTGGGACAATGCGCTTTGCGCGGCGGTTGGGTTGTTTGGTTGCGTTTTGTGGGTCGGAAATGTGGTTGGAGCCCTCTGTTTGTATAAAGCCGAAACGCCCTTGCCGAGGCGAAGCCTGACAACAAAAAGGGGGACAAAGGCTTTTTCACAAACTTTAAACCATTAGGCGCCCCAAAGATGCATAACCTTCCACATATGGAACTTCTTTCTTCCCCCATTGGGCGCATCCATTGCCCAAATCCAATGGCGATGGTCTCGGATGCACGTTTTGTCTGGCAGGGGGTGTCGGAATAACAGTTATGGCGCCCAATGGGGCCGTCCAGCGGGAAATGCCCCTAGGCCAAACGTCAGTTACCCACCGGCTTTCCCCGGGGCGTGCCAAAAAAAAACCTTCCCAGCATCCGTTGCGTAATACTTTTAGGCTTCAAGAAATTATGTGGAATTGGTTTGTTCTGCTGTTGAAGTCGTTCCCTTCTTTTTTTTTCGGCAGAGCCTTATCTAATTTTTCTTGACCCCAAAATCCATTCCCAGGGGTTCAAAAATCACTTCTTGTCTGGCAAATCACCTTTTCTTTTGTTCTTCGCGTCTCTATGGGTATTGCCCTAATGGCGCGGCCATCGACAGCGGTACACATATATATGTCTAGAATGTTTTTTATTTTTCTTTTATTATGGTTTCCAGTTGCGCAGCGGAATTAAGCATTAGCAAAGAAATCAACATGAATCCCGTAGGCGGTGGGCATGGATTCTTCTCGCCTCCCTGGGCCCCCTCAGCAGCTAATCCAATTTTCCCCACTGGAGGACATAGTTGTTACTATCTCTAGGGTCCCTGCCACTTCTTTTTTGGCAGCATTCACACTAAGGTGCAATATATAAAAGAAACTGCTGCTGATGGCACGCCGGCGCGCGTCCCAGGGGCTTCTTGGATAAAGTTTTCTCCCAGCACGACTCTGCTGGCCCCAGTGCTGCATGACGCGTTTAGCTTATGAACCAATGAACTCTCAAGAAAAGGGCTTAATGGCCCATGGCTTCTCCCGCAAAAAAAAAAACGGGGTAATGGACCTTGGCTTCACCTTTCGACGACCAAACGCCCCCAAGGGGATAGCATTCTGAAGAACGCATGTATTAAAAAGAAAAGAAAAGAAAAGAAATTGGTTTTTAAGAAGACCACCTCCTGCAAAATATATTTTGGTTGTTGAAGAGACAACCTCCTTTAACAATTTAGTGAGTACATTTAGTTTCCATGAATAAATTCAAGTACTTAACCTTGGCGTCGCGATAAGGTAGCACATCCTTACCAAGGCTGTAGGAAAGTATCATCCCGTTTTTTGAGACTTAACGATATGCTCCCTAATGTCCTGTATCTTCACTCCTGGGAAATCCTAAACTGTTTGTATTATCAGCAGTTCTGTGTAAAGCTATTATCCCATCTTAACCTGCTATGCCGGCATCCCTTCATTACGAAAAGTGTGTGTCCATTGCAGAAACATATTCCATGCCTCTTTATAATCTGGGCAAGGATTTGCTGGCATGGGAAAAATTTCCCGGTATGCGGTCACCAATTGGCTAGATGGCGCCTCCCTCAAATAATCCATCATTCTTTCAAAAGGAGCGGATTCGCCCTTCTGGTCTGATACCTTCGCTCCATGCTGGCAGCCGGAGTTCCTTTGTTCCCCTGAAATCCTAATTTTGACCCTTCCTCGTACGCCATTGGTGCTTTATCCCCTCGCCTTGGGCTTTGCGATAAATCGATATTTTTGTTGGGGTTATTTTCTTCCTTCCTATATTTGTCCTCTTCTCCACCTTTGATTGGGAGACCGCTACTCCGACAGGCCCGACAACTCCACCACCTCAATTTCTTTTTGTGGGGGTTGTTGTAGTGCCGCCAAGAGTTGCGCTTGCGTTTCTCCAAATTCCGTTTTTACGGTTACAATGTCCTGGTAAATGTGTGCCATTTAGTTTTGTAATTTCTGAAATGGATATTTCCTCAAAAGCATGTGGAAAATCCCCATTCAGTGGCACAGTTAAACTAATATTGGAGGAACCCAAGGCCTCCCAAATGATGGTTCTATTTGGCTCCATTGTAACCATAAGTATGTCGTTTTTTAGCATAAGCACAGTGTCAACATAGCTTAAATACTTAGTTTCAGCTGGACGAAATTCAAAAGCAAAGGCCATAGGGACATTATGGCGCACAAAATCCGTGAACACCTGCGTGCTGGACGCCGTCCCGTTGTTGATTGGGACGGGTGGGTTGTAGTTAACATTTTCCTTGCTTGTAAACTTACTTTTTCAAAGACTTATCTCTGAAACACCATGTGAATGAAAAAAAATATTAATATTTCAAACGTTAAAAACCTTACAAACGTCGGTTGGCTATTGGCGCAAGGCTTGGTGGTTCTTTTCGCAAACTGCCTAAAAAAAGAAAATAATAATAATAATAATAATAATAATAATAATAATAATAATAATAAATTCCACGTCAAGTGCAAAGTCAAATGGAAAAGCCAACGCTTCGCTTTAAAAAGAGCAATTGTTCAAATTATTTCTCAAATGAAGCTCGTGGGGTCCCGAAAAAAATATTTGCAGGGGAATTGGCGTTAGAACAAGCTGCGCGCCAGGATGCAGGTATGCCAATTTCCCTTAAAACTGCAGCAGGCAATTTTGGATAGTATTTGTCCCAACCCTCAGGGGCCAAAATCTCGCAATAGGGATTTGGAACTACTGACAACGCATGGTTTTTATTGCGTTCTGCGTTTCTTAGGTGGTTTTGCCCCACCTTGCGGACGTTTTTTGCTCGGGTTTTTCTTTTCTCAGGTTGCGAAAAGAATGATCGAGTCTTACTGTTTTTAGTGAACAAATTCTGTACTGGGGTTTTAACATTTGGGTAAAAGAGTTTTCTTTTCCAATCCCACAGTTCTGTCAATCGTAAGCTTGAAATACAAAATTAAGTTTTAAGCAAGGAAAATGATGACTACAACCAATCCGATATTTACAGCATTAGAGTGACGGATTTGCACCAAGGCTTTCCAAAATTTTATGCGCCAATTTGGCCCAACAGCATTTTATTTTAAGACCAGCGGATATGCCGCAATACAGTTTTCACGTAGATGGCCTTCTGATTTTAGACGGCGACGCACTGAAAGTAAAAATAGGCCAAGAAGACTTTATGGACTTGGAGGCCTTGCGCCCTTCTATTATTAACTTTACAATGCGTCGGAATCAAAAAATTTTTTTACAAGTTTTCGAGACGACATACAATTTATTCAGTGCAGAATGGGCAGCACTGGGAGAGGAAGCCTCAAAGTTACATTATGAGTATGAATGTGCCACAGCACAGTTAGAACGCGAAGACTTTAGCGTACAACAAACCGCTAATACACAACTCCAGGATTTACAGTATCAACTGACCCAGATCTCTCAACAGGCATATGACGCGCAAATGCTAAGCACACATATGAAGACCCAATTGCAAGAAACGCAAGCGCAACTGGCAAAGACACAGGCGCAGTTGGCGGCATCCCGCGTACAATGCAACCAAACGCTGGGGAAATTACGGAAGATGCAAAAACAGCATACTGCCACGCAGGCGCGACTAGGGGCGGCGCTTGAAAAATTAAACGAAAAGGGACAACAGAGCGTTCCGGATACAAGCCATACAACCGCACCAATAGATCCCCCACAAAAAGGGAGAAATTTATCAAGTTGGGCATGGAAGTCGGAACCGGCTTTACCGACTACGGAGGAACGCCCGAAGTTGGGCATTTGCGGCATACAGGAATTACGACAACCAATTTGGACCGAAAGCTGCCGGCCTGAAGAAAAAATACGGACATTTGAAGGACTAATGGAGTTTTTGATGGATGCATCACCCAGCGAATTGCCGGCTGCCTACCAGCGACTTTTTCCCAGGCCAGTTAACCCCGGTTTATTTTTTAATGATGTATGGAATAATTTTGTACAATGGCTGGACTCCGTTCGCAACGAGGGGATATCAGCACAGCTGATCCAAATGGGACGACAGGTATGCACACAACTCAGGGTAATACAAACGGTAAAAGATAACCCAGGACTGAAGGTAACCGAACTAACGCAAGTTATGGAAGAGCCTCAACTAAAAGAAGATCCATTTTTGCAGGTCGCTGCTAAGATAAAGCGGAAACATTCTGCACCACCACCCAGTAAGGCACGCTGTTTCAGATGTGGTCGTGTCGGGCACTACAGCACGACGTGCCGCGTGAATTTACAGAAAGAAACATATAAACCAAAAAACGATTATCGGCCCCGGAAACAATGAATACCGGGGGCCGGACAAATAGGATACGTAAAGAAGAACAATTTTCAGGAATGGACGCGTCCACTCAACACCGTGGTTTTCTTTCGTTCCCATATTCAAACGGGTATACAAAACATTTTAACAGGAAATACGCAACATCAAAACAAACACGAGAAATTACAAGAACTACAAGAGGTTTTCCCATCAGGTACACTCCCCCCGGGTACGACTTCAATAAACGAGGTAACGTTGATTCCAGCAAGAACCCACGATCCGTACATCGTGGCGTTGGCATCAGAGGCCAAACGCATCGCGAAACATATGTGGACCCATACAACATGGGAACAGCGAGGTTCAAAAATGCGCCGTTTCATAGAGTTCACTACAAAGAACAATTTGGAGGTACAGGAAGAAAACATTCCACTATTTATAGTAAGTTTACAACTGGCAAAAAAGCAGCGCGATTCAATACACGCGCACACTAATTACCATGCTGGCATCGACCAGAACACCCGCTCATATGTTTTTAATGGGTTTACAGAAGGCGACAGCGCAGGACCCGATAAAACAAGCACGTCCAATGTTAAGATGGGAATTGGATATGATAATCGATACTCTTCCATTGGAAAGAGATCTAGTGGCACTACGCCTGGCTTGGGTTACAGTCAGCCTTTGGGGAGAAATAACAAAGCTTCAGAAACAAAATTTCGTACCGCACGATCAAGATCCCAAAGCCACAATAGTGGATTGGGCAGCACTGCAAAAGACATTCAAAAGCGATCCACACAGGGCAGCGAGGTACTGGGCAATCCAAGGAGCAGACGCACAACGCGTCAGAGCAAACATAAAAGGAATGACAAGCGACGAAAAATAAACGCCCTTAACGACGAAAGGCATGGAAAACATTCTTCGGCCTTGCGGAATGGCAGCTCGCTCCATGAAGAGAGGAGCTTTGGCCCACGCCGCGGCAGAAGTGGTCGAACGCGATCCCAATCCACGATTATTAACGCAGCTAGGAAAACACGCGGACCCCATGGAACTCTCACGGAGTACGGTGCGTTATCTGGGTCATTGGGCCGCCACATTAAACAAATCGTCACGCCTCACATCATTAATTTAAGAGAATTGGGAAAATGGGCAGCGGAAAAATGTGGCACACCAGAACCAGCAACACAACAAGGTTTGTGTGCACCGTTTAAAGGGCACAATATACTGCAACGGTCGCACCGCACCAGAGTGGAAACGAAAGATGAAGAAGCACGATTACCGTTGCAACAAATAGACGTCAGAACGCTATCCACCAAATGGATCAGAGCACGCCTGAACAAAAGTGCCGGGAGGCGTTGGGACGAGGTGTTGAATATTATGCAGAAGCCCGAGTTGCACGCCAGACGGCGTGAATCCAATTTAAGAATTAACAACGCCGATTCGCAGCGTATGAAGGAAGCAGGTATTATTTGTACAGCTTTCTCACACCCAACCGCAGGGTGGATGGTACCGTTTACGGTAGTGGAGGAAAAACCCTCCGGGCAGAGAAGGCGATTCATTGCTTTGCCAAGAGAGAAGAATGACAAGGATGATTATGAAGCTGACGTTCCTCTCGCGCATATTTCCCGATACCTGGACGTAGTTTACGACGAAACTGCAACATTATTTGATTTGAAGGCATCCTTTTTCCAAGTGGCACTACTGGTCAATATGCGCGCAAGTTTCTGTTGCCGTACGGAATCAGGGGAACTCGTTGAGTTCACTCGCCTTCCCATGGGATATAAATGTAGTCCTGAGATATCAAATACCATTACACTAGTCCTGGTGGGTGATCCGGAGTTGGTAATGTCACAGTACGCTGCACCACAAGATTTACACATACATATATGGATTGGCAACATAAGAATAAGTGGACCACACAAAAAGGTGGAAGCTTGGGGTAAGCACATTTTGAAGAACGTGCAACACTGCGGTGCCACCATCGGGGAACAGCAGCTAAATACAAAGGAATATGGTTTTATAGGGGCATATTTGAATCACAAAAACCACACGGTTTCTTTAAGTGACAAAACAATAAAGAGGTTGCAACAGGCACCTTCTCTAGATAACGCGACAGTCGAAGAATTAGAGAGTACGGTTTCGCGGGTGGTGCGCGCAGGAGGGGTAAGGGGAGAATCCCTTTTCCCTTATTATTTCTTTCTAAAAATTGTACGTCGACGTTTGTCCCGTTTAAATCGAGGTTTATCACGGCCACAAGACCCAGCAAATTTATCGGCTACTGCCAAAGACATCGGGCACAGTTGGCTCAACACATTGTTAATGAACGGGCCGGTTCATACACCACAAAAGATGCCATCCACGGCAACACTGGTAACAGACGCTTCCATGTACGGATGGGGAGCGTTATTATTCAAGGATTCAGGAGAAGTTTTGGCGGGAGGTGGTGCGTGGGAGCACACACCTCACATGATATCGCAAGCAGAGGCGCGTGCCGTTCATCTGGCATTACGAGGATTTAAAATGCATTTGACGGGTCCGTTGGATATTCGCGTTGACAATACAACGGTTATGAATATTATGCAAAAAGGAAATACGCATTCGCAGACGTTACTGAAGGAAGCCAACGCCATAGATAGAGTTTTGCGCCCATACAGCATAACAGCAAAGTGGAGCTATGTAGCTTCAGAGAACAACCCAGCGGATGGCATATCGAGAGGTAAATTCATCAAAAAATCGGACTTAGCGAAGGTGTGGAACTTGCGATGGGGAGAGCGGGAAGCGGGCTCTTCAGCACTTCCATTTCGTCAGTTCTTAGGATGTTTTTTCGACAGTATAACTGTCTGGTAAAATACAGTTTATTTTTTTATATATCATGGGGTTCCAATTAGTGGGGGTCAAATGCAGGGTTTTCTTTGTTCTTCTGTTTTCTTGTTTTTGGTAGAAGTAAGGTTAAGATTATTCTTTTTGTTTTTTGCGTCTCTGTGGGTTTCACTTCCCCACTTCGCGCCAAAATCGTTATTATGCAGGAAGGGTCGCCTTAAACGGTCAGATGGGCGCGCGGACGGATTCTGTATCTCTTCTTTATTTTCTTTTTCGGTGCATAAAATAACACTGTAACTGAACACATGCCGCACCGCGCAGGGCAGGGCGGGCTGGATGCGTCATTTTTTCTTTTTCTTTCGTCGCGTTGTGTCGCGTTTCCTCATCCCCCGTTCCACGACACGCCGGCGGCGCTACAACAGCGAACAAAAAGAGAAACATTCTATGCCTTCCACCCCCCACCCCAACCACAAAAAAAGAAAATGTATTTTGGAAACAAAGGATTCCCACAATAGTGCCATTTCGTGCCCTTCATCTGTGTCTGTTTTGTTCCGCCCAACTTCGTGTTGATAGGAAGCATATGGGTCAGGATGCCTTACACAGCTACGGGGTTCTAACTTCCAAAGAACTGAACTTCTGCGACATTTTCTAAAGCATGGTAATGAGAAGAACAATTATGAAATATAGTTTTCGCTTGTGATACGCGCTTGCAGATGGCAAAGTCTCTTTTTCTTTGCTATTCAAATATGTGGTAAGGGTGTTGGGAGAAGCATTTTTCCCTATTACAAATGGAAACAGCGCATTCAAAGGGGCCGCAATTGAAATAAGAATAATTTAAGCTTTACTTTCTCATTCAAGTAAAAGTTATGGAAGAATCAGAAAACAATATATTACTTTATCGTCTTTAAACCCATGCCCCCCGTAATTCATAAATACATCCTAAAAATTTCCCCCGACGGTTGTTCCCTAAATAAATGATAGTGCTGGCGAAATGGAAGTGCTAGGAAACTCTTTTAACCCGAGTCCAGCTTTTGGCGGTGATGGTTGGGTTGGGAGGGTATTCGGGGACTTGCGTTTGACAGAGATCCAGAAATCAAAAACCATAATAACAACTTTGGAAAAAAATTGGATAAAAAACAAGATATTTTTTTTTACCAATCTAGCCTTTTCTTTTTTATTGCATTGATTAAAAGGCCCCGCCTAAGAAACTTTTAAACGGTTTCTAACGCACTTCCGAAGTTCCTTTGTGATTTCCATCGGCTGGCCACCCCATTTGGCCAACATCAAGGCGCTCACGAAGTGGTCTCCACCAGATTCTTTCACCCAGGCGCGCGTTGGGAAGCGGCAAGCGCCCTTTTATCCTTCCAAGCCTTATCCGCCGCATTTTTTTCTTTTGCAGGGCGTTAGATCGCTAGGGTGCGAAATTTCTTCGCCCTTGTTCTATGGAACTTCGGCGTTTTCTGTGTTGAGGCATTTTTTTTTTTTTTGGCTTAGCCACTCTTTTTTCGCAAAACCGGCTGAACGCGCTGAGAAGCCCCTGGTTTAGAAATCGCCGAAGGGGATCGTCCAGATTAACCGCAAGTTGTCAATGATGTCTCGCTCTTTAATTGCACACCCCCCCCCACCCCCAACAATAGGCACACTGACACAATCGCAGCGATCACAACGGGGGCCGGCAATTTGGTCAGCAATGTTCTCCCTTCAACCATCTGTAGGGCCACCCCACCCCTAGCATTCCCATGTGAGATGGAATATCTTTCCAAATGTGTTCGGAAACGGCCTTGATAAAAATGTTAAAATTCCTGACCTACCACCTGAAAAAGGTAAAAAATACTTTGAAAAATGCGACTAGATTAAATTTCCTTTTCTACAGAAAATTGAACGCCATATACAGGGAGAAGCAAGCTTGATTCAATACAACAAATCGAATGAACCCTATATCTCTCCTCCTACTGTTTGCCCGACGTCGGGCCTAGCAATTCATAAAATAATCATTAATGGGGGATCTCGTTTACAACTTGCCGACTGGTAGGCATTTGCTCTTTTATCTCTCTTTGGGGCCTTCGCATGAGGGATAATCTGTGTGAGCATGCTGGAAAATGAAAAACAAAAAAAAAAATTGATAACTTCCAACACCTCATTTTAAGAAAATCCACCAGAGCATGTGTCAAGAAAAAAAAAGATGCAACTAAAAAAAAATTGATACACTGTTATTTTTCATAAACAGTTGCGCATTCGTTCTAACGTTTCTGAGAAAAGCCGTGCAGTGCCATATTTTCTACTACATTTTTTTTTTTTTTCGGTAGGATTGGGAAATGGTAAAGGTCACCCGGCAATTTGTTCGTTGCGCAAGTCCAAAATGCAACCTACCCCCACCCCCACGAGGGCCCCATTAAGCAATGATGCAATTAAATCATAATTCTTTGCGACGCGTATCTCTACTCTAATTGCCCCACTTCGTGGAAGTGCATTCCGGCACCTGCACGGGGGCACGCGGCCCCGATCCCCCGCGCGCCGCCAGCCCCCATATAGCCGAACAAGGTGCAAAAAAGAGAAAACACATTCTCAGCCTTCGCGGGAACCCAACCGCAGCGCGCCATCTAACGATTCAAGCCCGTGACCCTGGAACCCTCTGGAGGTTCTGGGTCGTCGCCTGCGGTTCTTGGTTGGCCGGGCTGGCGCGCCACAACTTCTACCCCATTATTCCCCAAAAACATGCCCCCGCGTTTCTGTAGAAGCAAGGTGGTTTGGAATAGAAAAGTTTTCTTTTTTTTTTTTCGCGCAACGCTTCGCATGCGCGCTGCCGTTTGGGGATGAAAAAAAAAATGGGGCGGGGCTGCTGGATGGTTCCTCCTCCTTGGGTTTTTTTTTCTCTTTTCCACGCATTTTCTGCGTCTCTAAGGCTGCTGTCGGTTGGCGCTCCTTTCTGCAATCCCGGAACTGGCGCGCCAAACTCTCGCATCGAAATAGTGAAACCGATGCCTTCAGAAAAGAATAAAACAGGTCCCCAATTTTAATCTCAGACCGTACCAATCTTTTTCTTCTGGCGTCAGGATTCGGCCCATCGCTTTGCAAAGGCCGACAGAATGATCAATAGCAGTGTCTCTCTGCTCGTGCTTTGGCGCAAATTTTGAGAAAACAGCCGGTCCAAGACACCAGCAAATTTCGCCAGAACACTCTAGTGGCGTTGTGACGCTAGGAACGCTGGTTATCCCACCTGAGAAAGCTTTTCCCACACCAGGGTGCTGATGGATCATAATCAATTTGAAACAATTGGTAATTTTCTGCCATCGTCTTTCAATTGGCCATGTAATACGTTTTTGTCTCTGCTCGGAAGATTTGCTTTCCACAAAGACAACGGTTAGAATCTATGGCTAGGTAGCCTTTGCCAACGTTTTGTTTATTACGGCACCTTTTGTACAAGTATCACGTGTTTTTTTTTTGTTTGATCCAGAAAAACATTTCCAACCCTATCTTTGTCAAGAAGAAGGGTCGCTGTGCAATTCCCCCCGCTTCGCAGAAGCAGCCTTTATCTTTTTTCCGAAGCCATCAATTAATCAAATCGATAAAAATGTTTGGCCTTTTTTTTTCTGAGGGCAGTTTCCATCTACGAACGGCACGCGGAGACCAGGAGATCGCTAGGGAACTCGTTAGGCTTGCACAAAGAAAAAAAAACTTTTTTTTTTAATTTGGGAAATGGGTATGGCCAAGAGGAAGTTTTCCTCATCCCCACACCCACGCGTACTACTATGTTGTTTGGTTCTTGGTGCAAAATGCCTCATTGAAACCGCCATGCTTTGAGAAATTTTCATTTCACCCGTGCAACTTTTTTAACTGCCTCAGAAAGGGTGAAACGCTACAATTTTCCACCTTGGTAAGGATGTGCTGCCTTATCGCGGCGCCAAGGTTAAGTACTTGAATTTATTCATGGAAACTAAATGTACTCACTAAATTGTTAAAGGAGGTTGTCTCTTCAACAACCAAAATATATTTTGCAGGAGGTGGTCTTCTTAAAAACCAATTTCTTTTCTTTTCTTTTCTTTTTAATACATGCGTTCTTCAGAATGCTATCCCCTTGGGGGCGTTTGGTCGTCGAAAGGTGAAGCCAAGGTCCATTACCCCGTTTTTTTTTTTTGCGGGAGAAGCCATGGGCCATTAAGCCCTTTTCTTGAGAGTTCATTGGTTCATAAGCTAAACGCGTCATGCAGCACTGGGGCCAGCAGAGTCGTGCTGGGAGAAAACTTTATCCAAGAAGCCCCTGGGACGCGCGCCGGCGTGCCATCAGCAGCAGTTTCTTTTATATATTGCACCTTAGTGTGAATGCTGCCAAAAAAGAAGTGGCAGGGACCCTAGAGATAGTAACAACTATGTCCTCCAGTGGGGAAAATTGGATTAGCTGCTGAGGGGGCCCAGGGAGGCGAGAAGAATCCATGCCCACCGCCTACGGGATTCATGTTGATTTCTTTGCTAATGCTTAATTCCGCTGCGCAACTGGAAACCATAATAAAAGAAAAATAAAAAACATTCTAGACATATATATGTGTACCGCTGTCGATGGCCGCGCCATTAGGGCAATACCCATAGAGACGCGAAGAACAAAAGAAAAGGTGATTTGCCAGACAAGAAGTGATTTTTGAACCCCTGGGAATGGATTTTGGGGTCAAGAAAAATTAGATAAGGCTCTGCCGAAAAAAAAAGAAGGGAACGACTTCAACAGCAGAACAAACCAATTCCACATAATTTCTTGAAGCCTAAAAGTATTACGCAACGGATGCTGGGAAGGTTTTTTTTTGGCACGCCCCGGGGAAAGCCGGTGGGTAACTGACGTTTGGCCTAGGGGCATTTCCCGCTGGACGGCCCCATTGGGCGCCATAACTGTTATTCTGACACCCCCTGCCAGACAAAACGTGCATCCGAGACCATCGCCATTGGATTTGGGCAATGGATGCGCCCAATGGGGGAAGAAAGAAGTTCCATATGTGGAAGGTTATGCGCCTTTGGGGCGCCTAATGGTTTAAAGTTTGTGAAAAAGCCTTTGTCCCCCTTTTTGTTGTCAGGCTTCGCCTCGGCAAGGGCGTTTCGGCTTTATACAAACAGAGGGCTCCAACCACATTTCCGACCCACAAAACGCAACCAAACAACCCAACCGCCGCGCAAAGCGCATTGTCCCAAAACAAGGTCTGAATCCACCTGGCTCCCGGCGCCCGCCCCTTCTTACCCCTGCGGCCGAAACGCCAAGTTTTTCCAGGGAAAACAAAAACAATCAAAACCTTTCCGGGGGAAAGCGGAAGGCCCCCAACCCCAACACAAAAAATAAGTTTGGCGAGGGCGTTCTTTACAAACACCCTCGTCTGCCCGCGTTTGCCCCGCGGGGGGCCCGCCGGGACGGGTGCCGGGGAGCGCCAGGGCCTTCCTCCTCCTTCTCGGGGCGGGGCCGGTTTCGGGCGGGCCGCGGGGCGCGCTGCTTTTGGGAGCGGCCGCCCGGAGCAGAAATGGCCCCACGGGGTTGGGGCCTTTTGCCCGCAGGGCGTGGGTTTCCTTTCTTTCCCGCGCCGCCGGGGTCCATTTTTTAAATCATTTGGGGCCGTCGCCGCGCCCGTTGTGGGGTTCAGGGGTCGAAAAAAAAAGAAAAAGTTGCGTTGGCGCCCTTTTTTCCCGCGCGGGTGACCCCGGGGGCCTGCCGGTGTAAAGGGGCTTCCCCTGGAAGGAAAAGGGAGTGGGGGAGCGGGCTTGCCGCGCTTCCGCTTGTCGTCCTGCGTGGCTTTTGTGCTTCCTTCTTGCGGGGGTTTTGAGGCCGGCCGCGTTTCCAAAAGTGGCTTCCCAGGTGGCGGCGCCTTGCTGGGTGAGTGTGGGTGTGCCCGAGGTCGGCTTCTAGCAAGAAGGGGCGCTGGCAATCGAGAAATATATATTCCAAGCGGGTTTTTGGACTTAATTGGGTTGGCGTGCCTGTTTCCCGCGTTTTTTTGCTTTTGGCGTTTCTTTGAATCTAGGTTTTGCGATGGCGTAGTTGTGTTCTACGCGATTTTATTTACCTTGGGAGGGGTTTTGGCCGGTTGGCGCGGTGTTCCGGGAACCGCCGATCCCGGAGGCACAATCCGGTTTCAAACGGGCGGAGGCGCGCGTCACGATTTTCATTTTGCTTACGGAGTCCCGGAAGTTCTTTTTCGATGATGCCGACAAATTTCGTCCCCTTAATTTGTTTCTCTTGTTTTCTTTTGGTTTTCTTCCGTTTTCAGGCCCGCGGTTTTTGGGCCAGCAGGGGGCGGGGGG